ACTTCTCCAGACCGAACCATTTGCTTCCTTCGTTTAACAGTGTAAAATCACAACTTGAGGTGGTTGTACACAACTTGTGTGCGAGAAGTATTGAATTCGGAGGCAGCGATGGTTGTGGCAGCTATGGATAGGGTAGTGCTGGTGATAGAGAATTGATTTAACCCAGAACGGTGGCGCTCAAATTTATGAGGTGCCAAGTTGAAGGTTGAGCGTCAAGTATGCACTAAAGCGTCGTTTGGCAATGAGTTGGCATCGACCGAGGTCATCATGCCGATTGAACCGGTATGCTAAAAGTGCAACAAACATGGTGGGAGGGCGCAGCGCTCCTATCCAGACTGTCCGGAACGAGCTCATACAATGGGCCTGTGCTCTCGTCATCGCGTTAGTTGCGTGCTCGACGGGTGCAACGAACGAGCTGCAGTAAACTCAAGCTTTTGCAACTAGCACGGAGACGGACAGCAATGCTCCGAGCAAGGATGCACAAAGCGTGCCCATAGCAAAGGGGTGTGCTTTACCCATACTATGGGTTAAGCAAAATGCAATACGATATTGATTGAACTCTCCGACCCTCCCCAATTAATAATGGTGTTATTTTCTTATTTTTCTCCACTAATGTAGCCACCACTCCAAATACAGAGTTGGGCAAAAGGCGAATAGAACAAAACCACCGGACCCGTGTGGATAGCTTACCTCGGTTATCCATCACCGTACAAGTATCCTACGCTCACCAACGCATGCATCAGATTCCTTGCGCCTGGAATTCAGATACAACACAAGGTTGGATAGTTAGTATATGTATTTTCACATTCTATTACATTTGAACTCGATTTCTGTAAGATATTCACAGTAAATGTCAGCGACTCATTGTTAGTCGCTGCTTTTGCTTTGTTTTCATACTCCTTTTGCAGACCAATTGCCATCGAATGAATGGAAGGTGGTTGTTGGGGCATAGCCCCCCTTATAATGAAATGTGCATAAATACTTTTTACCCTTTTTACAGGTACTTTTTACTGCAGTTTATGAACCCCTGTATTACAATGGAGAATGGGGTAGGGCAAATGAACTATCATAGCCTGCCCGGGGGCGATTTCGATCGAGTTTTACCACTTTTTAAGAACACACGAACTCATGTTGAACGGCACCCAAACGCGACCCTTCAAATGTTACCTTGTTCGAAGGTATAACAAGTTATTAAACTGAGGTCAACTTTTTATCGAACCGGCCCCGTTTGTATCAGCAAACAAACGATTGCGTTAATCGTTGAAGTTTAAGGTAAGAGTTGACGACCGGCGATTTATGCATATGGACCGTGGAACCCTTTTCAAGGGGTGGCTAAACTCCGGTTAAATGTGGTAACGGAGGCAAATGAAAGTGGAGCCCGCCGTAAAAAACATATGAGTGGTCAGGCAGCTCCGTAAAAAGTCTCCGGTAACGTACGAAACAATGTACTGAAGGGTCGTTGGGATTCAGTTATTCATAGATAACCTAATTCAAGGTATCGGTCAGTGCACTGATAGATCCTTGGCAAAACTGGCATGGAGCAGTGAAGTCTAAATCCAAAGGCTATATTATGCTACCGCAAACCACTACCAACCACTCATGCGGAAGCAAGAAGGCAGCACTAGAATCGTTGACTGAAGAAATCTATAAATCGCTTGCTACACACAGTTCTGCAGCAGCGGGGGCAACCGATTACGAAGATTGGCATGATACAGAAAGCGGTGACTAGGCCAGACGTGCCATATAGTGGAGACAATAGCCATGATGTATGCTCTGTAGCTGTGAAGAAAACGTGGAGAATTCTCTTTTTTGCCCTGACATTTGGAATACTAGCGGAGCATCACGGTCGCTGCGCTCATGTTGCTTTAGGGGTCGACCCCCAAAACTATGCTGACCACAGAGTTTTGGACGACGTCCCCACTTGAGGAATTTGAGTACAAAGCCGCTTGCAAATTCTAGCGCTTTATTTCCCCTTTCACGCTCCCCGATTTGCTGGCTATTTTGCAAACAACATACATACGTTGTTATTAACGGTAGACTGATACACCTGACCTGTGGTTCGAATGCCAGAACACTTGTATTTTACTTACTTAGGTAAGTGTAATAGCACCCAGCCGCAATGGCCAATGTTGCTGCCGCGACTATGACATGCACGGCTGTTCAAAGCTGTTAGTCTGCACGCGTAGGTAGATAACCTCATGCACGTTGAGCGCAATAAGGAAACATATATAATGAACGATAACTAGCTCAAAATAATGTAGTTGAGCCCGATATCGTATCATCACACATGCATGTAGGGTATCAAAGCAGAGCTGTGACGCCCGAGATCGACCCAACAGAACTGTAATTGAGTGGGCTAATGCATTTGCTTAGTCGAACATCTTTTCATGAGCAACGCAATGAATGAATGAATTAACGCAGACTACAAAGGAGCAAATAATCGGCGCCTTTAGCGTGCAGGAAGGACTTGGAGCTGTCTGATTTCTTTAAAGCGAAGTAGCAGGCGAGCTCGAACGGGCCAAAAGAGAGCCATTGTTGCTACCAAGAAGCACCGACACGGACTCCGGCTCGTACACCCCAGCTCATCGTCCAGCTCGTCATCCGCGCATAGCCTTCAATGTAATTTAGAGAAGTTGCTGCTCGACAGTACCCGGTCCTCAGCATGCAAAGCTGCTTGCTACTTGGCGTAGCGTTGGCGCTTCCTTGAGGCTCTGCTTGTTGATGCTTGGGCTCTCTGTTGTGCGCTGGTCAAGCGATCCCGAAGGGCCGCAGACTTCTTACCAACGGCCGCAGAGCGACCCTTCTTACGACAGCATAAGGTTTGAAAGGCAAATAGGCTTAATAAAGGGTCCTAAGCGGGTCCAAATAAGGGTAAAATGTCACGTTTAGGTCTATTTCTGATGTCCTCCATACTAACGGTCGAATTTGCTGTTTCATAACTTCGACCCTCTGGTTTTATGGCATCTAAAGATAGTGACGTCGGTTCAGCTAAAAAAAATCCGTGCCGATACCACCTTCCGATAAGCATCCAAACGTTGTTTAACCGAGGTATTTTTTCATTTTTTAGTCCCCGTGTGAGCGATTCTTAATTGTGGCCCTAACCCATTCGCAGAATTAATGTAAAAAGTAAAGCGGAGTGTATATAAGAGACGTAAAAACTCCATAAAACGGAGTCTCATGATTATAGGGGGGGTTTCGTCCCCAATTATTCTGACAACCTTGAAAAATAGACGAAGTATTGTCATTTGCGCAGGAAGTAAGACGTCGTTGCTCTCCAAAATGCTATTTCCTGAGCAAGTTAAAGTAGCAATGTGCAATTCTGACACCAACTTTTGGTCTTGCATGTTCACACAAACGCCAAATGTATAGCTAATACTAGCGTTTGTTAAATGTTTGTTACTGTATAGTGAATCTGGCGAACATGTATGTGGAGTGAGACGTGTAGTCGTTCATCTTGAAGCTCTTTTAAACCACTTACAGTGAGTTCGTGTTATTGTGAGAAGCACTTACGTGTTGGGGGGCACACTGCTGGTCTCGCTGTTGCAATGAGCTTTAAATTAATGTAATGTAAGAGCAAATGTGCATACCGGTGGTTGTTGAATGTAATGTGACTGAATTTTTCGCCATGAGTTACAATTTTACTGATATATTGGCTTGCTGAATGCTCGAGCACGATTTAGCCTGGTACTGTGGGGGATATTTAACGATGTCCAACCGGAAATTTGTTGCAATCCATTCAGCGGCCAACGGTGGCGACGCCAAAGCCACTTATAATGATTCGGAAAGTGTATATTTACTACTGTAGCATGGAAGCCAGGACTAAGCAAAAGACTATACATTGATTTACGGTTGAAAGACGTCGAAAGCTACGACGGCACTACCAGATGCGGCACGAGATCCCTTGCTGTTACGTCAAGCCTCTTTCCTGTCTTCATTTATGGCGGCGACAGATGACTCGGACATGCAAGTATAGTTGATCAGCATGTGTGCAACGTCGGGAACACGCGCGCTGTCTACCAGTGCTCGCTCCGCTTGCTCGTGGCATCGATCCCCGTGCTGCCTATACCGTTTTCCATGTTAAACTCCAAGCCCGGTAATTTTAATAAAATCTGATGCAAACCCGGCACTTCGTGCATATATTTTTGAAACCAATTTGGTAAAAAGTATGAGTGTGTATAGGATACTTGGGGGCGGTACTGAGAAGCTAAGATACAACATTTTCCGAAGCAATGCCCCTCTAGCAACCGGGGCGAAAATTCGCCGTGAGGATGCTGCTATTCTAGTACTAAGCATAAATTGTGTAGGGTTCTGTGCCAGACTTCCTATTTCTTATTGCACGAAATTGATGACGGGGTATCAGTAAGTTATTCCCGTAAGTTACTGCAATTTTTTCTTACGGATATTGGAATTTACCGAGCCATGACCCATAGACAGGGCTTCGCATTAAGTGGTAATACTCAATACGGTATTAATACAGCACCCCATGCCTACTGTATTGCTACTGGGCGCACCACTATCTGGCTTATGTATTAGCTGCATCACTATAGTTGTAGTTTGTATTATTACGGTCGTAATACAGACGGGGCCATGTCTACCAGTACGTAGAGTGCCCGCAACTGGCATTGAATCCCAACACTTTAGCTTGCAATGGGCTTGAATAGGACTCCTGCTGTCGATCTGGGCTCCCGTGGCATGGATGACCGAGAAGATATCGAACCACCGAAACGCGCTCCATCCTATACTTTCATTCATTATTATTTAAGTTCTCTACGAAATGCACACGACTCTACAGTAGACTACGCAACAGTATAACAGCAAACTACAAAGCGACACCCATCTACTTCCAACTCCGCCGAATTGATTCCGAGATCAATCGTATCCGGTCAGTTCTCACTTCGTACTTGCTGTGAATCGCACTTATGTGGATACTATAGTTTATCCTAGTAAATCTTTGGAAGTGCTGCTGTATCTACTACTGTAGTACTATATTACTACACACCCTGTCTATTTCTGTGGAGCATGTTACTATAATAATGCACACCTTAGACTACGAATTCATGTTTGAATGTCGTCTGAATGTTGCAATAGCTGCATGTGACGCGAATGTAGCTTAATAGCAAACTCTTGGCAAGCAAAAGGGAGGGGTTCGTATAAACGCAGATTTTGGTCTATTATATTATAGTAATATTCAGCATCGGACTATAATATATTATTGCTAATATATTACATGATTTAGTCTCATATAAATATTAATATATTAATAAGTATTAATAATTTTGATGCATTAAGTACGATTTTACTTTGCCCACTCGCCGGGCCGGCACAGGCAAAGTATCCCACCACGGAAGCTGAAGAGGAGAGAGATGGAAGCGCTCGTGCACGCGCCAAGATGACCTCGTCCATGGTGAACCTGGTTGCAGCTGTCTCAAGGCCTTCGTGTGTGTAAACGCACCAATATACCGGCTGCGGTCGCTAGGACAGGAGCATCACGCCCAGCGTCGTCATGCAGCCGTGGCTGTTTGTCGTCGAGCAGACAACATGCAGTTTATCGGCGTCGGATTCCACGTTCAGGACCACTTTATGGGGCTCACCGGTACACAACACGGCCGTCTACGCGACGGCCTTCGGGTTCAGCCTGTAGATGGCGCCCAAGAAGCTCTTGGATTAACGCGGTCACGGACGCGACACTCACTTGCGGCTCGTGCAACCGGGACACAACGGCCCAGCCGCCGGCTGTCAAATTGTTATAGAGTCCCTGATAAACAGCACGCAACTTGCTGTGGATATGATGTCGCCGACGATAAGTATGATAACTAGTCCGACAACGATTTAAGTGCGCGAGTCCATGTAGCATGAGCCCCAGGGCTTGACGTAGGAAAATGCAATCAGGTGAACCCCTAATTGCATACACACCCTCCACCATAACATAGGTGGCTTTATCTAAAAAATGAAGCCATGTTATGGTGAATTATATTAAAATTTCAGAGTGCAATTTCGCGGACGTAGTGGATGGCGGCGAACGTGTTCCTCAACCAGTTTAGCGGGTAGAGGAATCTGCTGAATGCTTCTCGATTGGCGGATCGTTCAATCCGACGGAAAGAAACAGCGGAACTGGGGAACACACGCTAACTAACTGTTACGTACAGCTAACTCTACAGTTAGTGTATATGGAGAACACTAATACCTGTGCTACTGGATAGAAAGTTACGTTCGTACTGCGACTAAGGCCAACACGATATCTTACTTCACAGGTTGTTAAGATCATTATAACGCTTGATAAAAGTCAGCTCAACACAACTTTGAAGTGCATTAAAGTAGTAGCGACCGGTTTCCAACCACTTGCTAGCGTAGCACCAAACTAACTTGCCCACTAACCCGCCCTATCAGACAGAATCTGTTATCAGTGATAACAGATTCTGTCCACAAGCAGACCCTGAGATTTCTGCATCGCGCATGTCTTCATCAAGCGCTCGGAAGTACTCTATCTGCGCGCTATTACCACCACTTCAGCTTGAAATCCGCAGCGCTCTACTTCTTGAATACGTTTTCCTTCGCAGGTCCGGTCTCCATCCTTGTCCCCGTAGTGGTGGTAGCTGGTAGTGGGTATATTGTTTTGGTCATTTTATTAATATCGCATTAATATCGATACAAATCTTTCGGTATTATATTACTAGTATTATTATACCAACAACCGGGATATTAATATCGATATATTACTATATATGTATTAATATTTTGTTATTACTACGAATCCCTGGTTGCGACCGAGGAGGAATGCGAAGCAAGGCCTCGTTCGAGACGCCAGGACGTGCCGACGACGCATGGCGAGGCTTGCAGACAGCGGAGGATGCGAACGCTTTCGAGCGGGAACTTCACGTTAGGCTCTCGTCAATTTTGACAACTTTGATTGCGGATTAGACGACTTCGCTTGCACTAAGGAGAGTGGTACCCCTTAATTCGGGTACCTCGCTCCCACCCAAAATAAAAGCTGACGACTTTGGATGGGGATTAGACAACTAAGGCTGGGCAAAGGTGTAGACACTCATACGACTGAAAGCGTATTGATTTGGTATCGACCTATTGCTGAATTACTAAGACTTCGGTATGGAGCTTTCTCGCGTAATTGGTCTGGAGACTTCCTGTTTCAAGATCCCCCTAAACCGTCAAGATAAAAGGCAACAATGCTCCCGCTCTGGTGGAGAAAATTGTTGCAAGACCGGCGACGACAGAAATGGCCGAACCGGTACCAACTACGGTACACCAGGGCAAAGAAACTTCAGTATGCACTTTTCAATCCGATTTGGTGGAATACATCAACAGCTTTTCAAGTATGGCATCCTCGGGATGGTGATCGCGAACCACTGGGAACAGGAACAATCAAGTTCCGTTGCCTTTGTCGTGTAGTTGCATGACAAAAGATGTGGTGTCTTAACGATTTTCTGAATAGTTCTCATCGTTGGCCCACTGTGCACGAGTTCTTTGACATTATGTGCTCCAAGTTGCAATCGTTGCTCGGAACGCAAGTGGAGTTAAGAGATATTCTGAAGTTGTATCATCAGCTGTCACAAATTTTTCATCGCGTGCTACCTGACCCTGATGCTGGCGGGATGAGTGTGGTGGTTCGTGGAGCTGCCCCTCCATCGTACGGAGTAGTAGCTGCCAGTGGGACACGATTTTTTCCGACTCTTCGATTACAAGATTGGAACTTACTGCTGATGCCAAAGAAGGAAGCACCGATTCACCCATTGGTGAGGCTTGGATGCCCACCGGCGTTCGTTCATTCAACGCTAACGGAAATGATATCGCTGCGACGGTGTCTGATCCCTGTTATTCATGATGTGATGCTCAGACTGTTTTTGGGGGACCTTATCGTGGGCTCACGACTGTATTTTCTGAGGTTGCTAAACCCGACTGTACAGGAGTCTGTGTTCGATCCGAGTGCGTAGCGATTGAAACGGTCGAACATTGTTTTTTCGCGTGCCCTAGACTGGCGGAGATGTGGAGAGGCCTTTGGGCACCATGGAGGCAGGCTTTTAAGATTGATCTGGAATGGCGACTGTTGCTTTTTCCGAAATTGTCTGACATACAAAATGACTGAAGATGGCACAATAAAGTACTGCTACTGCTTTGGAGGGTACATACCGCTATTGTGCTCCATACTACTTGGCGAATTCGCAATGATATCTACTTCCATGAAACGGAAGCCCAGCAACCAAGTTTGATCGCTTCCTTTCAAAGGCATTGCCAGTTCATTTATCGTCACTCCGAAGAATTGAACATCGACGCAGAGTTAGTGGGATTGGTACTTCAACGTCTGGGGTTTGAAAAACCCACCGCGGAGATTTTACCTCCTCCTTGTCGGATTTGGATTCCACGGATTCAGTTTTATTTTAACTTCAGTTATTTTGTAGCTAGCAGACCGGTTATCGACAACTAGTTAATCAACGTAATTTCCTTCCTTCAGCTTCTGCTTCTTTCAGTGCGAGGGCTGCTGCTTCTGCTGCTTCTCGCGCTTTCGTCTCCTGGATTTCGTATAACTTCCGGTACAAACCGTGCTCGATCTGAACGAGGTCGCCGTGGGGGCCTTCTTCCACGACGTGGCCATCGCGGGTGAAATCCGTCCGTCCTGCGGTGGTGGCGAACAGCACAGGCTCCTACAGAACCAGTCCGATCTGTGAGCGCAGCCGACCAAGGTTTGCAGTCCAATTGATTATGTTTGACCGTGAAGTCCTATCGCAGGATATAAGTTGAATCCTCTGCTGATTCCACGCTCTCAATGTCTCACTTTCCAACCGTGCATCCCGCTGAGGCAACAACTATTATCCAAGAGTTTCCAACCATGCGCCTGGTGAACCTCCTGCTTTTCGCTATGCTCGCCTTCAGTTTGAACTTCGTCGATCTCGCCAGCGCTAAGGCCCAGCTTCGTAAGGACAAGTCGCCAACCGACGAGATAATGAGCTCAAGCCGTAGACTTGAACCTCTGAAGCAAAACGTCGAATCCACTGACCCCTCTGATACCAAGATACACGTCGGAGTGTCCAACCCCGAAGTCCGAAAGCTGAGAAGTTCCAGCTCAGTCACACCCAGCCAACACTCCAGCGTTAAAGAAGAAGAAGAAGAAGAAAGATCTGGCAATGCCCTGATGAGCAAGCTGACGGCATATCTGCAAAAGAAGATGCCCAGCCTTAGTGGCTCAAGATTCGAATGTACTTGGCAGTGGCTTCACTCGCAGTATCAGGCTCGGTGATCGCAGTCTTTGTCCTAAAGCACCTAATGCCCTAAGGTGTGGCGAGAGATACACGAGCGGACGGGTGAACATTTCATACGAAGGTTTAGGGAATATCTTAAATGAGGATCTATCTAAACAAGGGGTAGAGTTGAACTAGGGCTTCGCGGGGGCTGAGAAAGCGAAAATAAAACAGGACAGATATACGCACAGCGCAGTATTTCCTGTAAGTTTTCCTCGAGCAGGACAAAGCGCGTTGTTCAGCGATGCCAAGTACAAGACCCGGTCGGCCACGCGAGTAGGATAGGAGCCATTCAAGCTGACGGTTTTCGGGTACCAGGAAACTGGTACGCGTTTTGTCCCCGGCCGAACCTGGCTGTAGTGTAGTCGCAGCAGTTCGTCTTGGCCATTCAAGAGTCGGCGCCGCCGGAACAAGAACGATCAGCAGCAACCAGACCACGCTGGCGGCGCTCATCAGCTCTTGAAAAACCCACCTCAACCACTCCCTAGGGCTGCCTCGCCTCGATCCACTTCACGGATCTCTCTGAGGCTCGCCTTCATTAACCCAAGAACGAACTGCTTGTCCCCCACAACGTGCTTTGGTATGATGATAAGGAAATACCAGATAAGCAGCTTCTTAGCGCAATAACCCACTTGCGATAATATCAATTTACTTTCTTACCTCCGCGCTGTTAATAATCAAATACAAGCAAGCTATTAGCTGCAACAGCGCCCTGCCACGTGCTGTAACTTCGTCCTGGTGTTGCGTCTTCGGGTCGGGCGTGAGAATGGGAAATGGTACGAATGAAACTTGATGATGCGATTGATGCTTCCTCACCGATAGAGACCGACTAGATAATTATTTAGATGACCTATTAAGTTTACTTTCATAAAATTTTAATATATGATGGATACTTAAACAGGTGCGATACACGCACGGCTTCATGCGACACCGATTTAATCCTGTGCCGGCTGCGTAGCAGCATACCTTACGGTACACATGCTATCTCAGTATAAAGGGATTTCTACCAGTTTGTCATTGCTTCGACTGGACCATTTTTCGCGTTTGCCCCAGCAAATGGGGTTAACCCCAGTTAGAAGTAGAGCTATATCTACGCCGTGCTCTAAAATCGTCGACAGGTCTGTGCGCCAAAGAGAAGCGGGCGGCGTGTTGCGCTCGACTGTTAGAATAAGGCGTGGAGTGGCTGCGGAACAAGTGAAGTTATGGAGACCCTTCAACGACGTCTCGAGGAGGCTGGATACAGCGGGGGATTCGAATGCGTTCGTGTTTGGCGATGAGCCAGCATCAACAGAAGTCATGATGCCGATTGATTCGGCCCAAGAGTATCAGCAAACGGCGGCTCTTTTGCTGAACGATGGTCTGGAGATCATGGCAGCCCGAAGCCCTCCAAGTGCACCAGCAAATAAGGTACATGACTCGAAGAAAAGAGGCCATAGAAGGTGTTCTGTTGCTGGATGTCCGACTCGAAGCAAGCAAGGAGGCAAGTGCGACAAACACGGCGGAGGGAAACGGTGTGCGCATCCGGGCTGCTACAAGTATCCTCTACATAACCACAGGTGCGCCACTCATGGCGGAGCACGGAAGTGTGCACACCCGGTTTGCCCCTACCAAGCTCTCTCCACCGGCAAATGCGGTGCACACGGAGAAGGCCCGCGACGCTCCGAGCCAGGCTGTGATCAACGGTCGTAGTTCAAGGGCAAGTGTAAGGTTCATGGTGTGCGTCCGCGGTGCTCTGCACCCGGTACACATCTGCGAAAGGAAAGTGCAACAAGCATGGCGGGAGGGCGCAATGCTCCTATCCAGACTGTCCGAAACGAGCTCATACAATGGGTTTGTGCTCTCGTCACCGAGTTTGCTGTGGGCATGAAGTGTACATGAACGAGCTTCGGTATAGTCAAGCTTTTGTAACAAGCACCGAGGTGGACAGCTATGCTCGGAGCAAGGAGGGTCGAAGCGTGCCCTCAGCAAGGGTGTGAGCTTTACTCATAACGTTAGTGGAAGCAGCACTTCTTAACTTACACCGTTCACGCTATTTAGTCGTAGTTCGCAAATAGTCCGTAGTTTTTCGTGAGACACAGCGCAACTGACTAAAAGTGGTGTACGAGTTTTGAGGGGAAAAGATGAAATTTCAAAATGTTCTAGTAACGTCAATATTTAATATTTCAGGAATCTAAGACCATGATTGGCTTCGGCTCAACGAGATCTGTCCAAATCCGCCATCTTTGTGATGTTTCAAGGTCCTGGGGAAAATTTGGTGGATATTTCATGGTATGGTACTGTACCTGGCGGATGTAAGGACATTGCGCGCGCGCGCAAACAGCAAGCGGGAAGCTTTGCGTCGCCTCATGGTGCAGTCGGAGTCCACCCGCATATCGCTGAGTGTTTGTTTATCGCCATGCGGGATGCGAATGCGCTCGTGTTTGGCATCCACAGAAATTCTGATGCCGGCTGCAAACTATCACAAGGCTGGGCCAGGCACCTCAGCGGCACCTATTGTGCTGGACGATGAACCGACAGCAATGGATACAAGCGATCTGAAGGAAGCAGAAGCGAGTGTGGCCGTGGCGAAGACGAACACAACTGTGAGGCGAACTGCTGACGGTCACGAATCTCTGCCGATTAAACCAAGCGACTCAATGGCGACTATTGTGCTGAATGAAGTACCGGAAGTATTGAAGTCCAGCAATCCAAAGGAAGCTCAAGCTCAAGAGCTGCATAGCGTGGCCGTGAAGAAGACGAGGGGTGCTACTACTGTGAGGCGGACGGCTAGCGGTAAGAAGTGCTGCGCTGTTCCCGACTGCCCCCAGATCGCTCTGTATGGGGGCAAGTGCATCAAGCATGGAGGGGTAAGCGCTGTTCCCATTCGGACTGCAACAAGCTGGCCAAAGTCGGTGGCAAGTGCATCGCCCACTGCGGAACTCGACCAAGTTCGCACCCAGACTGCAGACACCGAGCTGTGTCCAGAGGCAAATGCTGCACTCACGGAGGTGGTTCACGCTGCTCCGACCCTGGTTGTATCAAAGTTGCCCAGATCAAGGGCAAGTGTAATGATCATGGCTCGTGTCCCCAGTGTTCTCGCGAAGGCTGCATCCGGTACGCTGTGTGGGAAGGGAAGTACAATTATCACATTGAAGCGACAGACTGTTCTCACCAAGGCTGTTCACAACGCGTGTTCACACCCAGGATGTACCACTAAAGTCTACCTGATTGGCAACGTCGGCCCAATTAATGATGATAACTCGAAACCAGTCAACGCAAGGTGTAGCGAGCACGATAGAGGGGAATAGTATTCATTCACGCTGTATAATATTGTTTATTGTACATAGAAACCTATAGACAAAAACCTAAACAAAAAAATGTATTTCAGATTATGGTTTATCCTGTTCGGTGTTCATAGTCTCCTCCGTGGCGCATACCACTCGGGACGTCGCCTTCGGTACAGGGTTCACGCTCATGACCCCTCCAGTTCCGTTCTGCTCGAGGTACCACTTGACCGTTTTCAAGTGAGCGTGAGATCCGGCAGCACAATGGACTGCGACGAACTGGTGCATCTTGATGCCACTCGGCTGATCAACCATGAACTTCTTCAGCTTTTTGGTCAGCCCCGTGTCGTCTTGTTGGCGATTACCGAACAGCTCCAGTTGGCGGGCGATTTGAGGGGTTGCACAGTGATACAGCACCGAGTCGAGGCCTCGAGTGCTCCACTTGGCCACGAAAGCTCGGTCACTCGACTCCCTGGCAGACACTTCCCTCCACAAAGTTCTAGACGAGGGCTTCCTCACCAAAGCGAGCAACTTCTTTGAATCAGTAGAGGCCAAATGCAGCAGCATAAACCCCGTCGAGATGATCAGCGCCACCGCCAAGCCACCGAAGATCGCGTACAAGTGCGGATCCGAGTGCAGCTCCGCGTTTCGGAGCAGCAAATCCGCCCCAACTTTGCAGGAAAAGTGAATGACCAGAACGGCCGCAGCGTTGAGCGTCCAGAAGCGCATGAAATCGTTTCGAGCGGCGTGGTCCAGACGCATGGCCAGCGACCGCGTCTGCAGCGTCACTCGAATGACCCAGTAGCTGCTACTGAGTGTGGTGAACACGAGCGTGAGGCTTCGTACTGGGATCGCAGGTGTGCAGTAGATGACGATGCTTCCTTCAGCCGTCGACAGTTGAGCAGTGCAACTGAGAGAGAAAATGTTGCTCAAAGCACCAATCGCGCCGAGGTAGAGCAGCACCATAGTACCCGGATGTTCCAGCGCCCCGTCCGCTGGATCACATTGCAGTAACTCGAACAATCCGATGCGAACCAGCGAGATGGCGTCGTTGTTGAACGAGTCCAGAGTCCCAAGACGCGACTGAATTTCCTTCGCGGGGCGGTAGACGCTGTTGCGGATAAAGATCCAGACGCTCTTGAGGATGTAGATGTACTCCAACGCGTAGTACGAGGCGCCGATCAAGTTGAGAATGAGCAGGAAAGTTCGGATCTGTCGACTGGTGTTGTCTTGGATACGAATGCGCCGGTTGATGAGCGTCGTATCGATCATGAACCACTCGATCTGCCGCAAGTTTTCCTGCTCGGCCAACTGCTGCTCTTCAGAAGCCCCAGCGGACATCAACGACGCGCACGACGGCAGCTCGATCAAGTTGCCGTTCAGATCACGGAATAAAACTTCATTCGTCGTCATAAACAACCGACAAAGAGTCTGGAGCTCAGTCTCCTGGGAGTCTCGGAATGCACAATTACCCAGGCCGTCCCCCATATACGCTTGGTACTTCTGAACGTTGCGTCCGCTTTGCTTCATTACATCGTCCACTGTACCACGACAATCGGGCGTGTGGAGGTATCCGTAGGGGGTAGTCAGCGGCTGAGATTGAGTGTCATTGGAGCGAGACTTCGTCCACGCGGTCCCGTCGATCGCAAGTAGCGGCGACTCCGTCAGAGTTTCCGGAAGAGTTAAAGCCACGTACCCCGCCGTAGTCTCACGCCGACGGCCTAAGGTGTAGACTGTGGTGTTGTCCAGCTTGGTGTAGTCTCGTTCGTCCTTCTGGAAGAGGAACATGAGGTTCACTGCGAATGTTGGGACGATGAGGGACAACTCTTGTCCGCACTGCTTGATCGCTGCAGCGTCTACGTCTTCGACTGTGATGGCCTTGTCCATGGTCGTGTGCTTGATGGCGCAGTTCCAGAATGGAGCCAAGTGCATCGTGGACGCCAAGTGCATCCCAATCGTGTTGATGAGGAAGTCGGAGGTGAAGAACGTAGCGGCAGTATGCGTCACCTCAGCCAGAATCGCAGCCTCTCCATTGACGTTCACCCCCATCGTGAGCTGCTGAGTTTCCAGATAGTACGATAGAAGAGCGCTGACGCCCAGCACATCGACAAGCGCCACGTGGTGGATATCGTACGAGCCTGGAAGCAATGCGATCACGTCAGCTAATGAAATGCCTTTGCTGTATCGACCCACGATGGCTTCTGCCACGTCGTTGGTGTAGTCGGGAAGAACCAAGTCCATGTACCCTTCCTGTACGTTCTTCATGATCTTACGCACCACCAGCGCGTCGTTGAAGTGGCGCAAGTACACTTCTGACATGTTCACTACAGCGATTAGGCCCAGAGTGACATCCCCCACTTCAGACAGGTTCGCGTCCGTCGGAGCTGTGACCGCGTGGTTGAAATAGCGGTCGAGTGGGAACCGGTCGTGGAAGTCGCGGCAGAATTCGTGCTGAATGACGGGGAACCAGTTGCCGAACAGGAGCTGGGCCTCCGTCTCCCAGGCCTTCACAGAACTAGTCACAGGTCCACACAGCGGCGCCAATACATCGACCATGAGATCTACGGGAGTCGCCAATAAATCTGCCGGAAGACCTGCTAGTAAATCGTCACGACGCAGGTTGGCTCGGACGAGGAAATCCGTGAGTGAAATGTTGGCGGCGGTAGAACGGGAGAACTCTTTCTTGGTCTCCAAGTCGATCAGAGGGAGCAGAGACCGCTCGAACGTGTCGAAGTAGTGCACCCCACTCATGACGACGCCCATTTGGTTGAGTTTTCTCGCTGCTATTTCGTCGCGGACTTCGTCGAATGGCTTAGTGACGTAGCTGCCGAGGTAGTATTCCTTCAGAGGGATCATGCTCACTCCGAGAAGCACGCCGAAGAATATCGCGAGGCACGTTTGGTACGAGATCTCATAGTCTTTCAGCTGGATTGGCTGGCTGGTAGATGGCTTGGCAACTCCTTTTGGCTGGTCTTGCATCTCTAGTGAGAACCGCGGGCCACCATCGATAGACAGTCGGTGTACAGTGACTTGACCCCCTCCATTGCTGTTGACGTTCCCGTCGATAGCCGCCATCGCTCTAATGTACCTGTGCGAAGAGCGACAAGGACGCGCCAGCACTAATTTTGGGTTATATAGCTCGCGTGGGTCTGATTGAGCTATCTTCGCATAGTTTTCTCCACCAAAACACCAGCGCTAGCGTCACAGGTATTTTAGGGAACGAAGAACCCAGAAGCGAAGACGAAAATTCCAGTGAGGGTGAAGAACTATTCTCGTGTTCGCATCATACGATTGCGACCCGCTCCAAAAAAAATAATAAAATGTTGAGTGCAAGTTTCTAGTTTGGAACGTTCTTAGTAGGACTTGGTGTACTCTCCGCTACGGCGTAAATCTTGGGTTTAGTTGGTATGGGCTCCATGGCCATGACGCCTCCTCGTCCGTCCGGGTAGAGATACCATTTGACGCTGCGTAGATGCAAATGTGCCCCAGTAGCGCAGTGCGCAGCGACGAAGTCGTTGATTGGAATGGACGATGACTGCAGGCCGATTTTCATGGGATCCCCCGATCTACTGCCGAGTTTCCAATTTCGGTGCTCCGGCTGCTCTGTCAAGCTGGAAATCTGCAATTGTCGAGCAATTTGCGGAGACGCGCAGTGATACAGCACCGAATCAATATCGTTGGAGCTGCTCCACTTGCCCACAAACGCTCGATAACTCGTAGCCCTCGCTTTCGCAGCTTTCCACAATGATCGTGATGAATCTTGTCGGAAAAGTACCTTCAAACGGTCAACGTCGGTAGAGGCAACATGAACGAGGACAAATCCTGCCGAGATCACCAACGCCAACGCGAGACCTGCAATGATTGCGAAGATATGGGGATCTGAGTAGAACTCCAGATTCTGGAAGACCAGATCGGCGACGCCTTTGCACGTGAAGTAGATGACCAGAACAGCGCACGCGTTGATGAACCAGAAACGGATAAAGTTGTCCCGAACTACGTGGTCAAGTCGCGTTGCCAATGATCGTGTCTGCAGCGTCACGCGGATGACCCAGTAGCTGCTGCTTAGAGTCGTCAGTACGAGGTTGAAGCTGTTCACTGGGATCGCAGGCTTGCAGTAGATCACGATGCCCGCTCCGGTAGTCGAGAGGTCCGCTGTGCAGCCCAATCGGAAGATATTGCTGAGAGACCCAATTGCTCCGAGATACATCAGCACCATAGTGAGAGGATGTTCAAGAGCGCCATCCGCTGGATCGCACATCAAAAGCTCGAGAATGCCAAGCCGTACCAATGGGGTCGGCTTGATATTGAAATGATCCGAGCTCGCAAGACGAGAGCGTTCCTCTGCGACGGGCTGGAGCACGCTGTTGCTGACGAAAGTCCAGATACTCTTAAGGATGTAGATGTACTGCAGAGCGTAGTGAGACGCTCCGATCAAGTTCAATAGCAGTAGAAAAGTCCGGATCTGTCGACTTGTGTTGTCCGTGATGCGGATTCGTCGCGTTAAAGTGGTCGTGTCGATCATAAACCACTCGATCTGACGCAGATTTTGTTGTTCCAGATTCTGATCCTCTTCACTTGCAGACGAAGTCACGAGCGAGGAGCACGCGGGGATTTGGACGAGGTTTCCTTCGAGGTCTCGGAACAAAACTTCATCCGAAGTCATGAATAAGCGGCAAAGCGTCTGCAATTCCGTCTCCTGGGAGTCTCTAAAGGCACAATTACCCAGTCCATCCCCCAGGTAGGCTTGGTACTTCTGTACATTACGGCCGGACTGTCGAAGCGCTGCTGTCACAAGTCGGACGCAGTCTGGAGTATACAGATAGCCGTACGGGGTTTTAGCCAAAGTGGTAGTTGATGTCGTGTTTGTATTCTTCTTGGACCAACTGGACCCGTCGATGGATAATATAGTAGACTCGTCGATATGCTCAGGAACTTGTAGAGCTTTGTAGTCGGTATCAGACTCGCGTCGACGTCCTAGAGCGTACGTCGTCGTGTTGTCCAGCGTCGTGTAGTCCCTTATCTTCGACTGGAACAGGAACATCAAATTCGCAATAAAGGAAGGGAGGCTGCTCGTCAGGTTGCTCCCGCACTCCTTCATCACAGAGGCGTCCACATCATCCACGGTAATGTCTTTGGCCATCGTTGTGTGCATGATCGAACATTGCCAGAATAACGCCATGTAAGTCGTCGAGACGTAGTGCATTCCGACTGTAGTAGTCAAGAAATCCGACGTGAAGAAGGATGCAGTCGCGTGAGTCACTTCGGCCGAGATCGCAGCCTCTCCATTCACATTTTTCCCCATCGTGAGCTCTTGGGCCCCCAAGTAATACTCAAGTAGCGCACTGACGCCCAGGACATCGACCAAAGCGACGTGATTCACGTCAATAGAGGCTGGGAGTAGCGCGATCACCTCAGCCACCGTCATCCCTTCACCATACCGATCCACAATGGCATCCGCAACGCTGTCTGTGTAATCGGAGAGATCAAAGCCCATAAACCCATCCTGTACGTTCTTCATGATCTTCCGTATCACTTGTGCGTTTCTAAACTGCCGTAGGTACACCTCGGACATATTGACAACAGCGATGAGACCGAGCGATACGTGGCCAATTGTCGCCAAATTCGCATCTAATGGCGCCAATGTCTTGTTGAAGAATCGATCTCGAGGGAATTTATCGTGGAAATCGCGACAGAATTCGTGCCGAATCACCGGGAAATAGTTGCCAAAGAGAAGTTGCGCTGGCGTCTCCCACGGATTGGCCGAGTCTGTTGCCGGTCCACATAACGGTGCAAGCACGTCCACCATTAGGTTCACCGTGTGGGCTAACGTAGCTGGTGGTAGCGCAGTTAACAGGTCAGCTCGACGGACATTAGCCCGAACGAGGAAGTCCGTCAATGTTAGCTGAGCTGCCGTGTCGTGGGAAAGCTTCTTTTTGGTGTCAAAGTCGATGAGCGGGATCGCCTTGCGATCGAACGTGTCGAAGTAGTGGACGCCGCTGATGACGACGCCCATTTGGTTGAGTTTTCGCGCAACTAAATCGTCTCGGACTTCATCGAATGGGTCCGTGACGTAGCTGCCCAGGTAGTACTCTTTGAACGGGGTGAGGAAGGCCACAGTGCCGAGGAATAGGAAGACAACGACGCAGGCTTGGTACGAGATCTGCCGGTTAATTAGCAGGAGTAGTCGGGGTCCAGGGTCTAGCCGCGGAGGAGTTGTGGTGCTGGCTCGTGGTGGGTTTCTATTGGGACTGGGCTCAGCTGATTCGGGCGAGGACATCGTCCGCCGCCAACTCGCCACTCGGTCGGTTGGAGTTCTGCACTGAGGACATACTTAAGTAGGGCGTAATTCGCACTTGGGAATGGGAAAAGTCAATCGTGGGCTATTTTCGCCCGCTATTTCAGTTTTAGTACTTCCGCATAGCAGTAACCGGGGGGGGGGGGCTTGACCGCTATTCTCGGGATTGTCCCGCGACCAATCGTCACCAAATGCCAGCATCGGCGACCATCTACCAGCTGTCCTTCATAATGTCCCGTGGGTCCCGACGTGTCCTAAAGTGACACACCCTCTATTAATAGTTTAACTAAATGAACCCACACGGGGAGGTTCATGACATCTATCCGCATATCTGAAGTGGCGGACTCGTCGGCATGCCCCACAATACGAGAGGCGGCGCGCTACTAAGCCACAGAACGCGTGCGTACGCATGTAAGCTAAGGAGAAGACGCTTGTCGCGACGAGGAAAAAGGCGGGCCGAGGGTAGCAAGTCTTTGAAGGTGAGAAGCTCACTGTTGCATCGCTTTATTCTGCGGCATCATGACGTGTGTTACTGTACTATTATATGATGTAGGCGCATGGCCAAGATAACGATGGATAGCAAAACCTGGTTGGAAGTATCGCTACAGGGCGCCTCCAGCCTAACGACGGCGACTGTGAGTGCCGTCGCTAGCTGCGGCTAATGCTGAATCGCAAGCACTGTCCCGTGTTGTACCTCGACTCAGACGAGGACTTCAACACGTACACCAAGCAGCTCCAGACGTGCGCGCTCGGCTCCTGACGCCCTGACGTCGAGGTTTGCTCGCTGCACTTAAGGTACTGTGATATTTACTACCGTAGTCTAATAGTTCTAAGCGGACTAATTGATCAGTTGTATTCATTTGTTCTGTGTTGTTGGTCATGTAGAGCCTTCCTAAGCTGACGTAAAATATGCACTGATTGATTTCCCACTCTGAGCTTTGTACTTACAGTACTTGTTGTTGCCTGATGGACCGCATCTTCGTCTCAACTCGTAGCAGCTCTTACACGCTGACTGTTTTGAGTGCTTCGCAGGGACGTCGCCCCTGTGCTGATCACTGCTGCGGGAGTCTTTTGGTGCGTTTGGCTGTGTCTGGATTGTCATCTTCTTGCGCGGAGAGGGTTCTTCGGAGTAATTGGGAGCAGCTGCATCGGACTGAGCTGCTGGTGACACCTTCCGCTCTTTGGACCGATTTTCAAGGCGACAGCGGAGAGCATTGATGGACAGTGCCGACCCAGGTTTGATACGCTGAAATTCCTCGAAGATCATCCTCCATTTTCCAGGTGTATTTTTTTCAAACGAATCCGCATAACTTCGCAGGTGCTCCAGCACGATACGACGGATTACACAAACTGGAACCTTGGCGCGTAATTAGCTCGTACATGAACTCCAGCTGAGGAGAGGCAGGAAATTGCTCGCGACCCAAAACGGCAGCAAGGCACATCGTCAAGAAGTCAAACTCAAAAAATTCAGGATTTCTTCCGAACTTGGCCCCTACTTTCAAATTGTGCTAGACACCACAGCATTAGATACGCATATAGTAGAATATGATTTGCATGCAATTACCTGCAAGAGGAAGATGTCAAGTATACGAAGGCCCGTTTCGTACGATACAATACGATCTAAGAGCTTTCGGAGTTTGGAATGAACTGCTTCGAGCTGACTAGTCGAAAGTACTCGTACCCTGCCGCCATTCTCGATGTATCAGGTTGCTAGCTATGCATCCTTGCCACTCAGGCTCTTTGACATTGAGGCTTGAAGCTGGAATCTTGCCCAGAGCGGTTGAAAACAGTGTAGCCATTTCTTCGGGCCCTCGTATTTTGTGGTCGGCCGTGTAAATAGCAGAGGACAGCTCAGTCGCTAGCCATCCCCGCATGACGTGATCCTTTACCTTCTCTGTGAACCTTTGGATGACGTGGAAAGGGTCTTGTTTGACTACCAATGCACCGTTGAAGACCTTGTCAATGAGGCTTCGTGTGCCGTTGGCGTGGTCGGTTATACAGAAGCGAGATTCAAGTGGTTTTGACGCTAATTGCGCGGCCACAGGTTTTAGAATTGCCGCAGTTTAAGCGTGATTTTCTGAGTACGTCAGGCCACGAGCAACAATTTGACCTATTTCATTTTGGGCAAGTAGTAGCATACGTACCTCGCTTGATTGATCTTTCTTACCTTGAGCACCAAATACTTTGAGTTTGCTGCAAAACTTTTGCGAATGATCTAGACGAATCACTCGCTTGATTTTGCACTGTGTCATGTGGGCTTCAAGCAAACGAGAGCATATTTCAGTCTGGGTCAGCCATATCTTTTGAAGAGCCTCATCATCAAGACATGCATTCGCTCCCATGTATTGCTCCAATGACACTAGCATAGGAGGCGAATAGTTTGCTTCTTCTTGCCTTCGCTTCTCCACCTCGACACCTGCAACCGATAAGAGAGCATAATAGCGTCTCTGACGACAACGGGTGACGCTGCTGCTTGCCCCAGATATGCCTCTTGTCGTTAGCATGCTATCATAAACAAGGTTAAACAGCTCGGTGATACACCCGTTTGATAGGTTAGAAGGTAAGGGAATGCTAGCAAGAGTTCTGGTGATGATGCTAGATATTCATCGTCGATAGTTGAAAATGTGCGTGTTGCGTGAGGCCCTGTACAGCGATACCTTGCATAATACAAAACAGTCTTGTGACCGACGTCGTGTACGTACCGCTGCAAATACTCCTTCACTTTTGGCTCACACAGACACCCCTCAACAACGCATTTTGGAACGCGGCTAGTGCGAAGGCACTCCGGGGCCCAGGCGAGCGTAGGGTGGCCGTGCCATGAGGAGAAAAGTGAGTCCTTTTTCTTCTCGGGAAGCTGCAATTCAGGAGGGAACTTCCTCAGGGCGATGGCGTCCCGCACAGCAACGAGTGCTGCGGACGCCTTCTTGCCCATGTGAAAACAAATAACGACTGTTCCCAATAAAAAAAGCGGCGGCCCACCGGCCACCCTTCGGGTGGCGGCGGGCCCCGGGCCTAGCGGCGGGTTAAGCCCAGTAACCTCGCTGTTTCCGAGACCCACTCCAGAATCGTTGACGACAACCACCTTTATAGAAGGATCGCGTTGAATAGAATTTTATTTATGTTTCTTTATTTTATTTTATTTTATTCGCAGTTCGAAGAACTGCCGATTGGGGAAGGTTTTTGGATGTCATCGAACGACTACATCCGTTGCTTCTCCCCCCAGCGGATGTCATCGAACAACATTCACACTACCGTATCGCTCCTGTCCTAAGCGAAGTTTTCTCCTAAGCGAATTTCTATTTTGACCAATGAGAGAGCATGATTTATGGATGAATATCGTGACGGTGCCGACATGCAAGAACTTGACTTGGCCACTGTATGGCGGCCATGGCCCAATCAGATGTCCAATACGTTTTTTCAGCGAATAAGCATCCGGTAGATCCCTATTTAGGCCAATCAACATGATTAGGGGTAGGTATATTTGCTGCCGACACTATGCCGATGTATAATGCCGGCAACGCGGCCGAAATATGTATTCATCCTATAGGAAATCTAAGTAATAAGGATATAATATACATATCTGTTCTGCTGCCGATAAGTTACTTAGCTTTTGTATTGCCTTTGACGAGCTGATTTGAGCCGTTTGCAATAGCGTTTCAACCATTATCACGAACTCAAACGAGTTTCCTGGGCACGCCTATCGACCTACCCATAACATGAACAAGCATCACTCAGTGAGAGCTGCTCATTCAGGAGTGTCGCTCAGGCGGAGCTTGCTGCATACCGCACGAGCGAAGCGCTAGGATCCAATGCAGAATATACAAGAAAACCATTAATTTATTCCATTTAATATCAATAACTTATTCCTACTCAAGAGTACTAGACGCTAGCGGTGGTGTGTGACTGCGGAGCATTCCACCTGCAGCGATACCCCACCAACAGTGCCAGTCCACACAGCAGCAGCAGCACCCCACCAGCGTCGTGTTGTTGGTGCCAACACCAGCACGCAAGCCGCAGCAAGCCACAGCAGCCACGCCCTCCTCCTGCTGCACGCTTCCCTATGCTCGTCGCCTCCCAGCAGGTCGCTGCGCCCTTGCGCTCGATGCCCTTACCGCCCTCGCCTTGGCGGCTACCCTCCCCATCGCCCCACCTCCGGTCCGCCGCCTCTTGCCGTTCGCTCCGGTTCTCCTCCTCCTCCTTCCCGCCGTCTATCCTCCACGGCGCGGCCGTCTTGTCCTGCGCCGCCATCCTGGTGCCCACCGCCCTGCTTTAGGTAACCGTCATCGTCGTGCTGCGCGCCATCTTCCTAGCCTCCACCGTGGACTACTCGCCCGCCGTCGTGCAGACTACCGCCGTCCTCCCAGACACCACCCACGTCTTGGCAGGCGGAACTATGCAGCCCCCCTTTCGCCGACGTCCTTCGGCTCGCCGCCCTCCTTGATGACCCACCCGCCGTCCTTGCGGCCTGACCTGCATCTTGGAATTGACATTTGAGTCAAATGATATGACCAATAGATTAACCGCTCAACTAAATGCTTATTTCTACCAATCACGACGCTGTAGGTCACTGTCGGCCGCTGTCGGCACCGTCATGGCATGGAATATGGTTCACAAACTTTGTTACGGTCCTCGACGGTGTCATCATTTCCAACCTCGAGAGAAAAAGCCCCACTTCCGCTCTGGTCTGCCAAGCTCGTTGCAACCACAGCATATTTTTCTCCCTGACTGTCTCAGCATGTAGAAGTGCCTCACGCGGAAGATGGCACGGTTGTGCGTCGCATAAACAACAACCAGTACATCAATCAACAAAACGTGAGTTTACGGATAACAGTTGGAAAGTTATGGCACAAACCTTGAAAAACGTGGTAGATCTCCGGGGTAGCTGAGAACAAAATCTTGCTCGCCAACGCGCGAGTTGTTGTGTGCGTTTTGCGACGTCGTGCCGAGGCGATTAGCCTGCTGCTGCCGCGCCGCCAATCTCTCTTCGTGCTTGCGCTGAACATCGAGCACACGCTCCAATGTTTTGGCAAGCGTTAGAGGCACCACAAAGTTGTAATCGAAATCAGCTAATCGGGTAGGCCTCTGCTATACTGCGGCTCACGTCCTTCCAAGAATTTGTCCGTCATTTTCACCTGGTACGAATCGAAAGCTCGTTGTACAAGCTTAATATCTTGAGCGCATTGGCTCCACCGAATTAATTCCGCTACTGTGACGGGTGTAGACGGCCAGGTCTGAATCGCAAAACGGTCTTTTTTGGCGAGTTTGTTTCACCTTCTTCCGAGAGCTGTAGCTGTAAAACAGCGATGTCACTGCTACTGGAATGCCCCGATCTCTCAACGCCTGGGATTTCAGGTCGTGATTCTTCTTCTGCTACCGTCGAAGAGATTGAACTTTCCGCTCCTTGAATATTGGGTAGACCGCGAGGCAGGCGGCGGTTGGGTTGTCCGTCCACACTGGTAATTGTATCCTGCCGTTTGTATGGACCCGAACCGACTGCGTCTCTGGGTTCGTCATTCTCTTGGATCTCTTGAGCAACAGCAAATTGACCGATCAACTGGCAGTCGTCTGTCTCACAGTTAGCCGTATCCTCGACTCCATTGCTTGTAATACTACTGTCAGCACTATTTCGAAGGCGCACATGTGACAACCATGATGCAAGATTCTTCAACTCCGCAAGCCGCTTGTAGAACTCTTGCGTTGACAGTCGTGACATTGTATCTAGCATGTCCTCCGTCGCCGCTCGCGCGTAGCGATCTCAGATAGAACCACCATGTCCCCTTGCTCTCCACTACGCAGACGCACATCGCTAACTTTTTCTGGCCTTCTGGTGTTGTCACTTTCTAAGTCTCCCACAAGAGACTGAATTGATCGTGGGGCTCCGGGGCAAGAAGAGGTTAAAACCGGCGGGCGTAACTTGATCAAGCCCACTTCGGAAGTCAGCGCAATACAACTTGCATTAAATCCAGTACTCAAACTTCGCGCAGCCGTCATACACCACCGATTATCCACAGCTTCATCAGGCAAATACAGCTTGTGTAATCCATCTCGGACTAGGTGGCGACAAGGGAGCCGAATACTGGAAAAGAATAGACACGAATATTTCCACAAGTTGCTATCACACTTGTACGCGCGGTACCTTGTGTTTACTTGCCACGTGTGATCACCAATATTTTCACAAGTAGCATTTGGCATGTCGTTGTGGAGAATATCGAGCTCTTTCCGGACCAGAGCATAAGTGTAATCACTCAGGCGGGCAGATGTAGACCTTAAAAACTTCGGTACGGCGCTATTCTGCCGTGAATGCGACGCGTGCCAATCGAGCGCAGATGCAAATTGCCGGGTAACGGCAAGCTGATGCGCTGGTAGACCACCGAAACACTTGTCGATACGAGGTCGGTCGCCGATACTCCTTTACCTGGCGCCAATTGGACTCGATCCTGTTCGTCATCGTATTACCCGCGGAAAAGAACCGACCCCGACTATAGTTGACCCACATATCGACGCACGTCTTCCAGTTTTCGTCAAAGTATTTCAGCAAAGCAGGAGCTTCATCGCGACATAAGTGTGAAAAGTGTGCATAGCGCTCTTCAAACATTGACTTCGTGTAGCTGCCAGCCATAACAGAAAATGCGAAGTTACATACAGATTTAACAAGCATGCTGCAAATACTTTCGGAAAAGCTGCTTACCATTTCAGCATGCCAATGAACAGCGCCTCGAGGGCATCACGCTGGGCGAGCTTGAGATTATGTGAGCGCTGCGAAATTATCTTCCGCCAATACGTAATGGCGTGAAACTGGCATAACAGTACCTTGGCGTCCGGAAAGCAGGCTTCGATGACAGCCCACTATACAATGTCCTTATCAATCACAAATGACTGTACGCTTGGCCACCGCGGATTCTTGCCTTTAACCCTTCTAGCCCCAGATCTTATTATGTATCCTACAGAAGAAGCATTAGACTTGATTAAAGTATACTTCAAAACCTGTCAAAGATTTGCTGTTGGAAGCCTTTTCGCATCTTGCGGTCAAGCGCTGGGTACATTGTGCACAGAACAGCTACGAAAGTGAACAAAACATGCTCAATGTATCCACCATATGCGAATGGCGAGCTTCTATTGGTAGTGGCGAGCGTAGAGCACGCTCAAAACCTGCTACATGGTAGTACCTTGCAAGGCTGCTAAGGCAGCATACTTCGCCTCCAGCCACCCATCTTCGACACGTCGCGATAAACGCGGAGGAAGAAATCGCCCTGTTCCAAACTGACGTAGTGAGGAGGAACTGGGCGAATTCCTCCTTGTGCTTGACATTAGCGCATCATTAGATTTCTTTAGCCCACCTAACAAGCTTGTTACGATTGTCTCTCTAACAACACCAGGAAGCTTGCATGCTCAATAGCCCGTAATGACACGCACTACACACGGTTCCTCTTATACGAAACAGGACAATATATGATATTCATGCCAACGTCTACTTCTTCCTTTACATGCGCACGCTCTTCAATGTTCGCGCCAGCCGTGGGTCATCTCCGCCATTTTGGCAGCCTCCGCTTTGCTCTGTAGCCTCCGGCATGCCGCTCCATTCCTGCCGCTTTCATCGGTAGCCTCTGGCGTAGCCTCTGTCCCTTCTTCTGTAATCTCCGGTGTAACCTCATCACGCGGAGAGCTTCTTCTGTAGCATCCGTCGTAGCATCTACCGCTTCTTCTGTAGTCTCCGGTGTAGCCACACCATGAGGAGCGCTTCTTCTGTAGCCTCTTGAGTAGCCACTGCATCAGCTACAATATAGCCGTAGACCCGGCTGTAGCCGGCTTCGTAGGAACCGATGAGGTTGTGCGCTGACTCCGCAATCGACCTGCCAATCGGGCCACACGCGAGAGCTCATAGCGTCGTCTGGGTCGGATCACCAAGTCTGGTAATCAACATCGCAACGTAGAATCAATATACCACTAGTACAATGTTACAGAGCAAAGTACACGCTCTCACTTACCTGTAGATCGCAATGGCGCTCATCATGATCGTCTTCGGCCATGGTCCTTGGCCACTTGGGCGCGCTCGACGGGCCCCAACAAAGCTTGCATTGCGACGTCTTGAACAGCGCAGTTTCGGAATGAAGGAAAGTACGAGTGGCTGACACGCGGCGGTTTTAGGCTTCCACCCGAATTTTCAAACCTGTTGGTGGTTTATACTCGTCCGTCTATTACCGCGGAATAAACCCCGTTTATCTTCCCATCGCTAATCTAACAGGAAGATGTGCACAATACCGGCTATACAAACATCCATACCCGAAGTTCGAAAGAGAGGACAAGTTTGCTGGATATTATGTCCTGTGACAATGCTTATTCTGTAGGATACAGAATACGGGGTTAGAGGGGTTAAAAAACTCGAATATGGCCTGAGTACAGTAGTGTGAAACTTCTCGTTTGAAGCGAGAAAGTCAACAACAGGAATGCCGCGCCCAGTGGGTGCCTGCCAAAACGGTCATAAGGACCCGGAGTAAATGCAGCAGATATGCTCGGCATAAGCCTCGTGAGACCGGAAAATCGTCTCGATAAACTGGCGGTTATGCCGTGTACGCATCTTAACGACTTACAGACAACGACGGATAAATACGACAACGCAAAACCCGGCACACATATGTTGTACTTTTTACAATAAGTAATTCAGATAGCCAATCAACTTCGATATTTACACTTGACATTTGTATTCCGTATGTTTTTAAGTACTTTCTCTAAATTTGTGTGCACTTATGCTCCGTTACGTGTATTTTATGTCATTGCCTTGTACAATCTCTATCGTTCCTGACAGAGAATTCTGGCACATTTACTATGAAGGATGCCATTCACTGGTGCCGGATTTATCCGTCGTTGTCTGTACTACGACTTTGTATTGAATATGTCGACCATCATTCTTGTGAAGATTGCCTGTCAATGACAGGCTGTCATATATCTTCTTCCACCAGCCGCTTGTGAATCGCGCGTCGAACAGCGCCCAGGTCCTTGTTGTAGATCACGTAGACCTCGCACAGCACACACAGAGCGTCGCACGTGTCATTCTGGAGCTCCATCACCACGGCAGCGTGTGCAGAAGAGCGCTGAATCGTAAATGAGCATGCTGAGATAAACTGCAGAAAGATCTAGCCATAGAAATGTCCGGAGCAAAGTGACGCTGTAGGGCGAATAGAGGTGGTACTTGGGCATTTGTAATCGGGCGGAGTTGTTGTCGATAAGCATGTTGTGGCGGGTGCAACTAGGCTATATGTCGACATATCCACCCGTATATCTGCGGTAACTATGTTAGGTCCTTATGACCCTTTTGGCAGACACTCAGTGGACGCCGCCTTATCGCCCTATATGTCAAGGCTTTCGAGAGTTGATAGACCGGCATATCCTCACCGACCGTCTGGCGAGACGTAATTGTGGTTTCAATAGAGACTCGGTCCAAACCAAACACGTTTTTGGACAAGAGCAAACACTTTTGGGACACGACCAAACACATCAACACTTCTACGGAAATCGCCGTGCGAATCTGCCACCTCGTATAGAATTCGGGGTGCAAATTGACCGGCGAATTCCACGAATGCAAAAATGCCAGCTATACAAAAATCAAATGAAAATGTCCATAATTCAAGATGTAGTGGAATTCATCGTGCAGTTTGCACGAAGCATATTGTGCCGCACATTTGGTACACAGTGTGAAAGTAGAAACACTACTACTTCGAAGTAAATGTATATTGTGTAAGCTTACCGCTACTTACCTACGTAATGGTAGCTAGTCTAGCTGGAGCTGTGCCTTGCCTGCTCACGGGCGAGTGTTCTCCACGATATTTGGTCAAGTCTACGCGCTCTTCCTTTACTCGACGTCGATGAGAACGGTAAACGATTCTTTACTTGCTCAAAAAGAAGGCCAGCCGAATCGAGAGAGCTGTGCGCTCGCAGGACCTCATCACTCGTCAGAAGTGCTTCAACGAAGCGCATCAGCCGCTGAAGCTCTGCAAGCCGGATCTTTTGTAGTCTTGAAGCCATATTGTGCTTTGATAGCTGCTTTAGTGGCGGTTGCCCAGCACACCATTGCTGCCACACAACGCGAACGGTTCTTGGGGGTAGCACAAACTCTCTTGGCACTCGATGAAAGCCCCCACCCCATGTGTTAAGCTCGGTGTGCATCGTTGCCGTAGCATTCACCGAGGACATTCTGTCTGAGTGTGAAGGTACACTATCGCAGAGCGAACATTTCCAAAAGTCGACTTTCCGGTGACACCACGCTGCTCCATCGAGGTCAAGTAGCGCATACACTCCATAGTACTTAATACACTTAGATTGACAGGGCTTCGTAAAGGGACGATAGAGAACCACTGCGCGATACTCTCCCCATTAATTGCACCCAGCTCACGAAACGTACTAGTAAACAGGACTTGCCGTCGATCCGCCTCCGTATTCTCGTAGAGCCACTCTATGAAGCGAGATAAAGTTCATAGATAGACGTACTTGGTGTTGTCAGAGGTGATACTTCCCAGCACTTGCTCAACGCGAGCATCGAGAGCTTCCATCGTTACTTAAACTGCGACTCTTGCCGATAGAAACTGTATCGAAATAGCATAGAAATATTTCTAGTTTTTGTTTCGTTCACTTTGCACGACGAATTCCATTTATCTATACCTTGTCTCCGAACGGTAGTGATGGGGACGTAAACGACGGGAACTTCCCGTAAGGATAAAAAGGCGCATGTTTTTTACGTAAAGTTAACGTGAATTTACGTTAACCTCTCCCCGATTTTATCCAATCACATATGTTATATGCTGATGGCTCGAACACTAGCCACTCCTCCCTGAGCTACTTACTACCAGTGTCCCCGCGCTTCGCTCTGCCTACGCGCCCCAGTCACCGCCCGCGTCTAGTTGCAGCTGTCTGTGTCCTGGTCGGAGTCGCTGCCCGTGCGAGTTCGAGCCCCAGATCACGCCACCGCCACCGCCCGTGTCTGCGTTCAAGGCGCCGCTGCTGTCTGCGTATTGGTGGAGTCGCTGCCCGTGTCCGAGTTCGAGCCTACCTCAAGCTCGAGCCTGATCTCGGATTGCAGCCTGTGTTCCGAGTTCGATTTGCACCTTAAGCCCCAGCTACTGCTCGAGTCTGAGTTCGAGGTGGTGCAGTTACTTGTGTTCTGGTCTGACTCGCTACCCGTGCCCAAGTGGCAAGCTGTGTCGCATAACTACTAAATGTTTGATGAGAAGTGGAGACGGACTGATATTGTGGAGTTGTGGAGAGGGATTAGTTTCTGTGGCGAACAACTTGCTGAGGCTGGTTGGTGAAATTTGGGCTAGCCATTCGCGTTCAGAAGCTGGAAGGAGATTACAATGTCGGGCAACGCAGAGCAGCCTTCAACAGGAGGGTTGCCTCTTTTCAGCATGCCGCGCGTTCATAAGGAGGAGTATTGGGCTTTCGTTAAACTCGTAGCTCCTAGTATGCAGTTACCGCCTGGGAAATCGAAGTGGGTATCGTCTGACGCAACTTCCGCAAATTGCACGGAGTGCAAGGTAACGTTCCCATTCAAGTCGGGAAGCAGTGCTGATATCAGGAAGCATTTGTCTAAGAATCACCCCTAAAGTCTAATCCAACTTCGGCAGCAGGTACGGCAATAGTGAACACTGAGAAATTGTGTGTGTTTGTACCGTCTGACCTTTATTGGAATGTTTGTATGTTTGTAGCACCGTCTAGATTAGGGAGGCTCTCTACGGTCGTCCCGGACCGAGTGCCTCGCGAGAGGTGGAGCAGTACTTGGAATGAGCGCGCTAGTATAGCTGATAGCGCTACAACGGAGATTGACTTGCTGCCGAATTTCCCTGTGCGTGAGGCTAACCAGTGGGACATTATCTTGGGCGAACTTGCTCTACGAGGCCCAGCATCATGCTTATTATCGTGCTAGAGATTCCAGCAGAACGATTACCTACAACAAGTACGTACTTGGTATTTGTCTGAAAATGGATTGTAATTTAATATCTTGTTTGATTTGTATGAGCAGTAAAAGCAAGCGACGTGCTTTAAGTGGGCATTTCGGGTATTTCGCTATACATCATATATATTCAATGTCAAGTAGTAGGCATAGAGATGTTATCACGACTAAGTAGGTGGAAAAGATGAAACATCGTATAACTCAGTAGGGATGTCATGTAAAATATTAGTGAGAGCAACCTGCTGCAATCGACCTAGCAACAGTAAATACAAAAACGATGTACATAATAGACAAGATATTCTATCTGTATCGAGATAAATTGTAGCTAATAGTATTTGAAATTCGTATAATGAGGTGCTGTGAAAGTCACTTTTTCACGTATTCCTGTAGTTCGAAAAGGCTGGAACCCGCCCGAACATGAGCGGTCAAGACTATATTGCTTCTAAAAGACGAGAACGGCGGGGTCGCCAACAAGAATCGGAATTGTAATTTGTCTAGTAGAGTAGCAGGAACATGCAACGAAGCAGGTCTGCATCTCATAGAATACAACGACAAATGAAGCTGACAACAGTGAAAATGCTGAGCTGACCGGAGAGCAAGGTGCACATGAAGCCTTTTAAGTAGTATCTAGCACCCGAGTCTACGGTGCATGAACGGTGCAGACAAAACGGTAACGGCGATGCACAATAATATGATCAATGGTCAGATTATTCTGCGCACTTGTTCACAAAAAACTGACCATTTTCAGATTATTGAGAACAAGTGCGCACAATAAACTGACCATGGTCAGATTATTGTGAACAAGTGCGCAGAATAATCTGACCATTGATCATATTATTGTGAACTAGCGCACAGAATAAGCTGACCAGGGTCAGGTTAGTGTGAGCAGTGCTCACAAGCTAACTATGGTACGTGTAATAAGTGCATTATGGTAAGCGCCAGTGTTCTGTGCTGACTGGTGTGCCTAACGTAAGGTAAGCTACACTAATATTTTACAGCCAGCTAACCTAATGTAGGATGTTTGGTTGTGCCCGATTTTTTGTTTGGTTTTGCCCTGAATCTGATTGTTTCTGCTCTGCACAGATGTTTGATTTTGGTTTTGTCTTAACACCTTGTCTCCGAACGTCGTAAGTTACGACATTGAGCGCGTTATACTAGAAAAACGTATAGACACGATTTTGTCATACTTTAATCAAGTTTGTTTCAAGCAACCGCAACCTATAAGGTGCGAGAGGTCTCTGCGACAAGTTCACAGAACCGGGTCAGAGGATGGGTTCAGGTGGTGAAAGATTCCAGTTCGATCCAGAGCCTGGACAGTTTGGTCCAGAGTCCGGGCAGTACGTCCAGAGTTGGACCAGACAGATATCCTTCAGTGAAGGATAAATGAAGGACCTACACCCAGCACACGAAGATGACTTTAGACACTTTTGGCGGCAGCTCAGGGTGACCGGCTAGACCTGGGGAAGCGCGCCGTGTAGCGCACACCCGGCAAGAACGCAGGCAAGCGCAAGAAGACACGGTGGGAACTGCAGCTTCCCCGCGAAGAAGGAAGCGATGGTGGACAATGACAGCAATGACAGCGTCTGAGGCGAGTACCGTTCGGTAGTGATGGGGACGTAAACCCCGTTTACGTAAGTTAGCGTTGTTCCCGTTCCCTTCGACTGGTTCCCGTTGCCGTCATTTTATGCGTCAATTCCCGTTTCGTACTTAATTAGTTATAAAAGTTTCTTATAAGTTTTACCGAGCCCGTAAGTTGGCTGTCCGTTCCCAAGTCTGGCCTCACACCGCCACCGCCCGTGTCTGCGTTTAAGACGCCGCTGCTGTCTGCATATTGGTCGGAGTCGCTGCCCGTGTCCGAGTTCGAGCCCCAGCCCAAGCCCGCGCCACCGCCACCGCCACCGCCCGTGTCTGCGTTCAAGGCGTCTCTGCTGTCTGAGTTCTGGTCGGAGTCGCTACCCGTGCCCGAGTTCGAGTTACATTACAAGCCACCGCTACTGTTCGAGTCACTGAGGCTTCCCCGCGCTCCTTCGAACTCGTTCGCTGGCGTGATCCTGGTCCAATACGTGGTGCCCGCCACGCTCTTCACGGCTTATCGCGTCATGCACAGGCGCCAGAAGCTGCGCCCCCACGAATTGGCGCTGCACCTGGCGCTGCTGGCCGTCGCCGGCCCCCACCTATGGCGCTGCAGAGCGTGGACACGTCGGGCGTGTTCGACCCGTACGAGACCCTACGCGTCAGTGACGCTACATTCTCGCGCCGGATCAAGAAGGCCTTCAGAGCGCTGTATCGCCAGCTGCACCCCGACAAGAATCTGCACAACCTGCGGGCTGCAGCGCAGTTCATGCGCGTGAAAAAGGCGTACGAGGCGCTCCCGGACACTCACTGCACGGATAATTACCACCCGGACGGCCCGTAGTCTATGCTCATGAACATCGCCTTCGTGTCCGTGTTCAGCGGCACGGGCAGCAGCACTGACTCGGTCTTTGCGCTGCTATATTTCGGCGCGAACTACGCGGGGTTTGCGTACTTGGATTATGGCTGCAGATGACTGCGGGGCGTCGCGACCGCACGCAGGTGCCAAGGAAGATACGCCAAAGCTTCAGGGGGGGACCTGGCGGGGAAGATGAGCGTGTGCGATGTTGTGGAGCTGCTGCTCTCATGTGACGAAATGGTGGGATCGGCTGCGGGCATCCTGGACGAGATCAAGAACGAGGCGGGGCTATGCGCGAAGACCCGTGACAAGCTGGTCACGAAGATGGAGGCGGCCAAAGCGCTACCGACTGAAGTCATATCGCGCATCCACAAGCACCCGGATCCTGTGGTTCGGGAAACCATGCTGGCGCTGTACCAGTACCTGCGTCGGGACAAGGTGCGCGGTGTCTCCGCGCCAGTTGTGGGTAGCGGTTCCGGAAGTTGTTGCTGGAGCTGCCGTTCTTGGTGTACATCTTCGCGACGATGGCGACTGGGCAGTTGGTGAAGCGCGCGTACCCGGCCACCCCTCTGATGCTCGGGATGCCGCTGCTGTCTATCATTGCTGAATGCAGCTTCGTGCCGGACGAGGAGTCACGAAGCGCCCTGGTTTGTTGGAGACAGAAACGGTGCGGCTGACTTCCGCTTCGAAGCGATCGCATCATGCACCAACTGGGTGGCGGAGTTTCGTGGCATTACACCTCTCGACTTTATCAGCACGTCGGGGTGATTCTTAGACAAATGCTTCCTGATATCAGCACTGCTTTGTGACCAGAACAAGCGTATTGCGGAAGTGGGTGGACAGCTTCGGAAGCTGTACTTGGCCGGAACGACGCTCGCTGTGCTCAACGAGCCCACCAACCAGCCTGTAGACTGGCTCAATCTGCAGACCACGTTGCAGCGCGAGGACCTGGAAGCCGGGAGGACGGTGCCGTTGACTGCTACTTCTACGACCCCATGGATTCCAAAGAGTCCGTTCCGGAAGGAGAACGTCTGGCTCCTTGTCATGGAGAAGCGAAAAGAGTGCGACTTGAAAAGTAAGCGTTATCATGTATGACGACTTGAAGCTATCTTCTCACTTAATAATTGTCGTTTTGTTGTTGCCACGGTACCTGGACTTATGACGCAGAAGGGAGGCTTCTTGGGGCTAGAGGCAGCATGTATTTATTTACCTAAGCATTCGTATTATTGTGTGATTGCCGTGGTAGTGGTTGTTCCTGCAGATGACAGCCCGTAACCGGAGAACTGCTGCATATGCTGCTGCAGCGCGTCTAGGGCTGAGAGTTGAAGGCATCAAAAGCCGCAAAGGATGATGTTTAAAGTGCATAACATGTATTGTTCAGTGACCCAATTAGTAAAAGCAAATACTACGTGGTGCGAATTCTTCAGCTGGAACCGTTGCTCTCGTCAGCATCCGCCCCTGGATCTTGATTACTGTGAAGAAAAATGATGTCCCTCACATTGTCGCCAGTAAGCTTGTTTCGACGATTGGTGACCGCGTTCCCAGCAGCCGAAAAACAGCGTTCCGATGGGACAGAGGTGGCAACACCACCAAAATATTTCCTGACTACGGGCGCCAACAACGGAAAGTCACCAGCGTTGACGTGCCACCACTTCAGAGGGTTCTCCATCTTCGTTTGCTTTACCTTTTCACGCGCTCTGGTCTGGTTCTTTGTCTTTTTGAGGAGTTCGCACTTGTCAAAGTATAGCTTTAGTTCAGCCTTCACTGTGTCCCGCAATGACAGTTCCTCTGGCGATGCAAGCTCCCGAGTAGGTGGCTTGCGAGTCAAGCCAAGAAGCTCGCTTGTAAAGTCATCTTCCTCGTCACTACTTACGTCCACACTCGTATTAGGATCGAAATCGACCCCATCAGCGCCTGTCAGGCGCATGGCCTCGTTCTCTAAAAACAATGCTGCAGCAATCTTTTCATCATCTTGTAAAAACTTGCCATGGGCGAAATGGGGATGTTGCAAGCAACACGACTTCACGTCATCCGGTAGTTTGCTGAAGCGCTTTCGAAGCAGCAAAAGGAACAACCGAGGAACCAAATGCATTCGCCTGAGTGTGGGGCCAGAGTATAACTCGCCTTTAGCAACTTTTGCAAATACCTTCTTGTTCTGCAAGCGCGTTTCGAGTAACCGAAGGCTAGGTAATATAAGAGGCATGGTGGCATACGTTTCACCGGAGAGCAGCGTCGTCATTCCATCGAAACTCACAAGGAGTTTATCAAGACACTGAATGTGGAACCACATCTCCCCAGTAGGTCGCGCTATCTTGACATCACTGAATTCTTCCTTCCCAACTGAGGTTTGTATGTACTCCAGAAAATTTTGTAGCGCCGGACGAAGTTCTAGCAGTCTCCTTAGCATATGATGGGTGCTGTTCCAGCGAGTAGCCACGTCGGCAATTACCGTAAGCGGCTGAGAAACCTTTTGAAGAGCCTTCAATCTGGATTTCCCTTTAGCACTTTTGTTGAAAAAAGTGACAATCTTGCGAAAACTTGTAACGTGTTTCCGCGTTTCATTCATTGCCTTCTTCATTGCGTTCATGATCTGAGTAACAGCTCGGGCACTAAGGCAGCTATCCAGTAACCCTTCATCAAGGGAGTCATCAGTCAACAGATCGACACTTTCGTCGTTGGATGGCACATCAGACGTTGGACTACTTCGCAGCGCCAGTTGTTCAAGTTCCTGTTCTAGTTGTTCGATCGTCTGCACTTCAACAACTGGATCTTCAACCCACCGCTCTTCTCCTGGTTCTGGTTCTGCCATGTCCTCAAAATTTACCCCTTGCGCTTGTACTACCGTCGTTTCATCAACTTCATCCCGTGTTTTTGATAGAGCTCCCGACACAACAAGATGCAATGAATGAGCCACGCAACTCAAGTGGTCGACGCCCAGTTCATCACAAGCTTTAACAACATTTGATCCGTTGTCACGAACAATCTTAGTGAGTCGGAGCGGATCTAGCCTCCACTTGAGCATCAGGCTCCTTATCGTATCTGCGATCAGAACCCCAGTGTGTTTTCAAGGAAGCTAATAATCTCCAGCGTATGACTTTTCATTTGGAAGGCAGCGGTCACGTAATGAATTGTCAGAGCTAGAAAACTTTCTGTTGTGTGAGAAGTCCAGATATCGGTAGTGAGGCAGTAAAAGATGGCGCTTGCTACGATGGCGACTTCCATATCTGCTCGTTTCTTCTGAGCGTGAGTCTCCAAGCGCTCCGTAATCGTGCGGCGGGATGGCATCTCGTAGATGCCGTTGATAACTTGTATGAGTATAGTCAAAGACTGCAGCTCCTTGTCCTCGATGATACCCAACGGCCGCAAATTATTACTGATCCAGTCCACGAGCCATTGTGTTGCCATCTCTTCTAGAGCAGGCGTCACCTTCTTAGAACGTTTTGTTGGAGACAGAAACGGTGCGGCTGACTTCCGCTTCGAAGCGATCGCATCATGCACCAACTGGGTGGCGGAGTTTCGTGGCATTACACCTCTCGACTTTATCAGCACGTCAGCGCTTTTTGAGAGGTGTGCGAGATAGGGATCTCTGCCGTTTGCCACCTGTTAAGCCGATGAAAGCGATAAGCGTAACCCTAGTACATGCAACGTAATAAAAAATAAAATACGTCGTAGTGTCAAACCTATTTGATTCTCTGGTCCACGAGTATCTTCGCACTCGAGACCTGCGTTGTTTTGATCAGGAGCGTTTGTAGTCGTCTCAGAAACTTCTTCCGTTTCGGAGCAACTTGACAGACTTATGATTTCGTCTGGAACTCTGCAGTGATCCTCGCTACCGTCATTATGCCTTGAGCAGATGCTTGCCGAGGTAGGATTACTTTCAGCAGGCCTTTCAGGAGCATCGACTCGTTGAGGTGGCGCCTTACGCCGCATGCTGGGTACGACGACGAGGCAGCTTGATGCGGTTTTGTCGACTAAGGCAGCTGCCTCAGCCAGTCACCATAGATACTTTACCGTTATTTTACAAAATAACGTTTTAATAATGTACACCACACAATACGTTATGGTGCTTAACCACTTGAACGCGGAGGGGTGACAAGGACGTGATACGAAAACGCCTTATGCTGTTCTGAACAGCATAAGGAATAATATACGATAAAGTTTGATGTACACCATTGCACGGCGTTATTCTCATAACGCGCACTCAAATTCACAAAGTGTGCACTTACATTTAGGCGTCCATTTCTTCATCCCCAAAACACACCCCAAAACCCCGAAAATCCCCAAACGTAAAACCTCATATTTAGGAACCATGAACCTAACTTTTACTAAGACCCATTATATATCTAGCTTAGAGTAACCAGCCGCGCTGCGCTTGGCTGGGCGCCCCTTCGGCGCCCCCGCTGTTCGCTGCGCTCGCGATAAAAAGATTCTCACCTGGCGAGTGCAGTGTTCGGCTCGCTGGAATGCTCGTCGCTGGGCCCGCCTCCGCAAATACCGCGCGGCCCTGCTTCGCGGGCACCCCGCGCGGGTTTGCTGCGGCTACGTTCCTCGCAACCGCTCACCTCCGTTGGTCGGGCGCTATCACGCCTCTGGAATAAAATTAGCCTAATATTTATTTACCCCAATACTAAGATTTATTTTTTTTTGGGGACAGTTTGGGGGACGTTTAATTGAGATTTTGGGGAGTAACAAACAGTTTTTATTGAAAGTCCCCAAAACGTTTTGGGGGATTTTAGGGGACTTTGGGTACGTTTTGGGGATGAAGAAAATTATCCCCACATTTACATAAGCCTGTATCATAGCATAGGTTCCATATGTATTCCGTTATTTTTTGTGATATAGACTAGCATATGCACCGTAGCAAATCATATTATCATATTTCAGATGCCTGAATTACTATAAGGGTATACATTATAGAAGGTATTTTGAATTTGAGTGCGCGTTATGAGAATGACACCGTGCAATGGCGTAGTTTATTCTTGTCAAGCTTTGCCCTTTTTGCGCGCGAGTTGTAGCTAAACTCCTCGGTAATAATTCCCGCAAAGATGATTCGCACTGAGACACGCTCGTTTAACCCCTCTAACCCCGTATTCTGTATCCTGCAGAATAAGCATTGTCACAGGACATAATATCCAGCAAACTTGTCTTCTCTTTCGAACTTCGCATATGGATGTTTGTATAGCCGGTATTGTGCACATCTTCCTGTTAGATTAGCGATGGGAAGATAAACGGGGTTTATTCCGCGGTAATAGACGGACGAGTATAAACCACCAACAGGTTTGAAAATTCGGGTGGAAGCCTAAAACCGCCGCGTGTCAGCCACTCGTACTTTCCTTCATTCCGAAACTGCGCTGTTCAAGACGTCGCAATGCAAGCTTTGTTGGGGCCCGTTGAGCGCGCCCAAGTGGCCAAGGACCATGGCCGAAGACGATCATGATGAGCGCCATTGTGATCTACAGGTAAGCGAGAGCGTGTACTTTGCTCTGTAACATTGTACTAGTGGTATATTGATTCTACGTTGCGATGTTGATTACCAGACCTGGTGATCCGACCCAGACGACGCTATGAGCTCTCGCGTGTGGCCCGATTGGCAGGTCGATTGCGGAGTCAGCGCACAACCTCATCGGTTCCTACGAAGCCGGCTACAGCCGGGTCTACGGCTATATTGTAGCTGATGCAGTGGCTACTCAAGAGGCTACAGAAGAAGCGCTCCTCATGGTGTGGCTACACCGGAGACTACAGAAGAAGCGGTAGATGCTACGACGGATGCTACAGAAGAAGCTCTCCGCGTGATGAGGTTACACCGGAGATTACAAAAGAAGGGACAGAGGCTACGCCAGAGGCTACCGATGAAAGCGGCAGGAATGGAGCGGCATGCCGGAGGCTACAGAGCAAAGCGGAGGCTGCCAAAATGGCGGAGATGACCCACGGCTGGCGCGAACATTGAAGAGCGTGCGCATGTAAAGGAAGAAGTAGACGTTGGCATGAATATCATATATTGTCCTGTTTCGTATAAGAGGAACCGTGTGTAGTGCGTGTCATTACGGGCTATTGAGCATGCAAGCTTCCTGGTGTTGTTAGAGAGACAATCGTAACAAGCTTGTTAGGTGGGCTAAAGAAATCTAATGATGCGCTAATGTCAAGCACAAGGAGGAATTCGCCCAGTTCCTCCTCACTACGTCAGTTTGGAACAGGGCGATTTCTTCCTCCGCGTTTATCGCGACGTGTCGAAGATGGGTGGCTATGCTGCCTTAGCAGCCTTGCAAGGTACTACCATGTAGCAGGTTTTGAGCGTGCTCTACGCTCGCCACTACCAATAGAAGCTCGCCATTCGCATATGGTGGATACATTGAGCATGTTTTGTTCACTTTCGTAGCTGTTCTGTGCACAATGTACCCAGCGCTTGACCGCACGATGCGAAAAGGCTTCCAACAGCAAATCTTTGACAGGTTTTGAAGTATACTTTAATCAAGTCTAATGCTTCTTCTGTAGGATACATAATAAGATCTGGGGCTAGAAGGGTTAAGCCAATCACATCAACTTCTACATCCTGATATTTGTGAATTCGGGGGGCAGGAAAGCATAGAGCGTGTTGCTCGCCATATTGCGTTCTGTACGCAGTCAGGCAAAGTCAAGAGCGACAATGCGCCGGCGGCAGGAGGCGAGCACCTCTGTGTTCGCAAATGTCATGAAGGGACTAACTGAAATGAATCCAAGTGTATTATCTGGTTTACTCAGCTCACTACTCGGCCACTAAACCTCTGTCTCTGATGCTGGCGCAAACTCACCATTCTCCCGAACAATGTGCCAGATCTGCGAGCACGTGAACCCTTCGTTCTGTGGGTGGCCTCGTACCTTGTTGAACAATGTAACGAGCCCTCTCTTACCCTCTGAATACTTTGCGCAGTAGTACGTTGATGTGCCCCCTCTCTTTTTTCCTTGTGCCTTGTAGATCGAGCATACCTTGCATTGCCTTTGTCGAAGGCGCTGGACGCCGTTGTTCAAACGCGCATCCGTTGTCTGCGTGAGAGTGTGCTCGACTTGCATTGCCGTAGGCTGCTCAACTGCGCCTTGGTCTGTGGATGATGCTCGCGCTTGCGTGAAGCTGTCTTCCGTCTCCTCTACCAACTCCTTGTGAAGTTGCGCAAGGAACTCGAAGTGGGAGTTCTGCTTTGGCTTTTTCTCCCACACGTGACGGTGAATAATGTAGGCGTTGACCAACGCCATGTCGAGCAGGCCGAGAAAGAGCCTCTTGTAGTACTTGTTAAACCTGTTGAATGGAACATCATAAGTTAGTAAAAATATACACATCATGTCAGCTTATCAGTAATACCTGATAGACCTCTGCATCGAGTATGCTTGGATACGCAGTTGATCGTGTCGATCAACACCCCCCACGTAGCGCTGATACACGGCGACGAGGCCAGGACACGGCACATTGCTGGGAGTTCCGGATCGTTCTCCCCGCCGAACCGTTGTTGATTCTGCCACTACTTGTGACGATAGGAAGTACACGATCGTGTTGTCGACCCACATTGTCGCTACGAGCCCTGGGTTCGACTTCGCCACTGCCATCTTGAACGAGCCACGAGGATTCCTTGCCTGGCGCTTCTTTTTGGGGTAGTTTAGAGCTTCACACCAACCTTTCCGGACGGTTTGAATTGTTCCCACGTAGTTGAACCCCATGGTCCGGAGCTGTTGTGCCAGCGGGATCGACGTGTAGTAGCTGTCGGCGATGACAAGCCGGCGCCCTTCGTAGGGAAGTCCTCGAAACACACATGCAATGTTACGAATGACAGCTGCAGGACCGTTCTTGGTGTCCATCGGCTGAGAGCCTTCCGTGTCACCAGATCTGCCAACGTCCAGCTCGACTCTAATTGAAGTGCCATAAACATCTCAGGTCAGGATATCAGTGTATAATAATGCACAACATGTCAGCATACGCACCTCTTGCAGTATCCAGTCTCGGCACAGCATGTCATCACGCACTTCGAGCCCCAGCGGTGGCGTTTGTCCTTCATGATTGTCCTTGTCGTATTGCGCCGATTGTGGGAGGGCAACACGCCTTCATCAATCGAAATACGTGATAATAACCCTCTTTGAATGTCTTCTCCAGTGTCGCTAGCATCGACCGGATCTTCCAGGCTCTATCCGTGGCTGCTACGGGCTTGGTGTTATCCGTAAAGTGGATGAGCCGAGAGATTTCGCGGAATCGGTCCCTTGACATGACTCTCCTAAACGTGCCAACAGGAAGGACGCCAAGTTATCTCGTACTCCAGTACTGGTCCATCTGCTTACACGGGCTCAGCGTATGAGCGAGCATCAAACCAACCCATTGTACAACTTCGTGTGGGGAAACCTTCTGAAATTTCTCAAGGTTGCTTCGTAACTTCGCACTACTACGCTAGCGCCGATTCGTCACCAATTGCTCCTTCTCTTCCGCCTTCCGCAGCCGTGCCTCAAATGTTTGCCTCCAGTACAGGTTCGTCTGCGCTGCAACCTTCCTCCACAAGGTTTTCGGTAGCAAGTAGTAGAAGAGCTTGAGTGGCGACTTCGACGCCTCCGTGATGTTGCGGGATGGTCCGCAGTAGCCGTCGTACATCTTGTCGACGATGGGATCGTCTGTAATATCAGGAATTATGTTGTCTTCCAATGCCTCCCAGGCGGAAAGCTTCATTGCGTCGAGTTGAGCGTCGTTGTAGACTTCGGATGACTCTGTCAGCTTCATAGAATAATTAGTTGGCGATCGAGTCAGCGTAAGCAAAACTGACAATATAATTTCACCTTGAATGGTCATGTGCAAACGCTCGAGTTCTTCACTACTCATTAGCGCCTTCAGACGACTCACTTCGCGTTGCAAACAGTCTGTTTTGCATGGATCACTTGTGTCACCAGACGCCACATCGCTAACATCACTGGAAGCCTCGGCGGAGTCTTCATCACCCTCTCCGTCCGAGTCGAGCGCGTTGTCGCCACTGGGCTCGACCAAGTTGGGGTCCAAGACATCAGTGTAGTCAAAGCGTAGCGGAGCCGTCCCGCTTTGATCTCGCAGAACACGCCGCGTGGTATCGTCACAAACGACGTGCGCGTCGGCATCCTTTGTTTCTCCATCACTTGCACGGCTGGCAGAATTACCGGCGTCATCGTCATCGTCTTCGTCGGGATCGTAGGCTTCGTCCTGAGGATCTGCCGTCACCTCTCCCTCGCTGGCGTCGCTAAGGTTGCCGGCACTTTCGTCATGCAGCCCCTCCGCGTCTGCGTTTGTCGCTGTCGATGGAATAGAACCAACTTTCATGTCAGCATTCGCGGCCACGGTTGTACCATTCGCGTCAGCATTAGAAGCGGGGCTAGCTTCCTTGTCAGCATTCGCGGCCACGGTTGTAGCGTTCGCGTCAGCAATAGTATGGGCTGTGGCGTCCGTGTCGGCATTATAGTTCATCCATGTTTGTGTTGCTGGTGGTTTGGTCAGCTTAATATACAAAAGATACGCATTTCGAGTCAGTATAAGATCAGAGTAAACAACAGCATACCATCAAACGGTATACCTTCTGAAGCGGCACCTGAAGCAGCATGCTGAGGCGTTGGCGTTGTCGATGGCGGCTCTACCGCTTTTCCGTCGGTGTCTGTATCCCATTCATTATAGGCAAGGTTAGAAGGGTAACCCAAACATCAATAGAGCAAACGACATACCGGTGCTGTTGTGGTGGCCCATACTTTATCGAAGGCGGCGAGCTCTCGGCGCCGCTGCATGGCTTCCTCGTTCAGCTGCTTCTTCGTCTTCTTCTTCGGCGCCTTGGCAGCTGAGCGACTAGACTTCGGAGCAGACTCCGTCGACTTCATTGGTCGCTTAGCAGGACGGAGATTGCTCGGTGCCTTGCGCACACACCTAGGTCAACGGTTCAGCGCTGACTACAGACAAGTGCGAGGCTTACGACGATCAGACAGCCGCCGACTGACCCGTCGACGGTACGGCGGGTGTCGGGAAGAGGGACGGCTGGGAGGGAGCTACATGGACACCTTGGGCTCCGGCAAGCCCCAGGCGGCTCCCGCCGGACATACAAATGGGCGCGACAACGTCCGTTACTCCCATCGAACGAACCCGACGCTCAGAGATGTCGTCCCTCTCGGCCAGAGTACTGACTGCACTGTACTCTGCGCCCCCGTGGTCTCTCCCCACGGATCCCGCCACCCTACTTGGTGCGTCGTCCTTATATGCACTGTCCGCCACTTTTGCCTACCTTCGTTGTTACTCCTCGTGCTCCTGGCCGACTACCCTCCAGCTGCAGAATCAGCTAGCGTAGGAACCTTCGCTTCGGCGCAACTTGTGTGTATTTAGTCTTGATTCACCACTAGCCAGTGATAAACCGAAACTGAGAGTCGAGCGGCTCAACCTCCGCTCGTTGTCCCCGCTTATCTTACCTTCCAACTCTATCACACGGCGCCTTCCTACTCCTACTTGGACCTCTCCCTCTTCGTCTCCCATCTCCGCTCTCGTGGTTTCTCGGCGTGTGGGAGCCCGGGTCGCCCCTCCTGCGCTCATAATTACTGTCCGTCGTTGTTCTCCGGGTCGCCCCTCCTAGCGATCTTCTGTCTTCAACTGCAACCTGCTCTTGCTGCTGCTGGTGACCGTAGCCTGCTTGCTCGCCCGGGCCACCATCACCCCCAAGCCGTACAGCTGCGCCACCGTCCCCACGCTGTGTGCCACACCACTCATTGCGTCAAGTCGATCGTGACGTGACCCCCAGCATGATCGCGTCCTGCAGCCAAGTGACAGGGCGCCATACTACATAAGTATCATTTGGACCGGATATGATGGAGTGCTGTCTGATGTACCGTATCGCTCCTGTCCTAAGCGAACGTCAATGTACGTTCTAAATGTTAGGGTTAACTTTTTGACCAAATAATTGGTATCTAAAACCTAGTAGTTAGGCTAATTCATCTGACCTAAAATTGGGCATGAAAGGCGTTTACCTGCACATACCTTGGAGCTATATCTTTCTGCTACTACGCATTCAAGCTTCTTTGTAGATCATGTGGCCTAGGTCTCAAGAACGGTCTGGAAAATGTGTTTCCATATACGAGTGATTACCCGTCGTCTATAATTAGCTGATTAACGCTGTTGTTTAGCCTCAGATTTGTGGCTCGGGACTGGCTGCTTAGTGACTCCGTGATTCTGATGTGCCTGCAGGGGCTCTGTGATACTCACAATGGCGTCAAGCTGCTCAATGTTCTCGTCAATATTGTTGAATGGCCGCAGACACTGCTAGATATGATAACGGGGCAAGTCGAAGAAATTACGAAAACGAGATTTATCGTTCTCCCGGTGAATGCGTCGAACAGCACTGGATGCTGATTATTGCGAAGGTCAACTTCGGTTCTGAGGTTACCGTTTACTTTTATGATCCTTTGTTCGGAGCCAAAAATATTCTCGAGCAAGAATGGGAGGAAGGTATGCTGCCTTTTTTTTATCAAATGGCATGACGATTTTAATTTGCAAATTGCAAGTTGAAACACTGCTGTGCGTATGCCACATGAGGCCGTTCGCTGTCCACTTGCGTTCCCGCTAGTGAAGAAAGTTTGGCTGAAAACTCCGAAGCAGTCAGCTGCATCAAGCTGTGGTGTTTAAGTCATTGATCAAGGTCACGCTGTGCTTAATGGAACAAACGGCTTCGGACACATTTCGAGGCTGCCACGGACTTCACGATACTACTTCGCTTGCGCATTCTGTGGTACATTACGTACGATTGCTCCGAACATCACCCTCCTCCAGAGCGTTTTGCAAGCTGTATCGAGACACACGCTCAGATTTTGCAGCGTCTCGACCAAATCGAATAAAACATTGCTCTCTCGTGGGTGCACTGATAGGAAAACTACTGGAAAGCTAGTGCACCGCGCCAGAGTTTGAGAATTCGTCCAAGTTTGAGTAGCAAGACTCGAGTTCGGGTTCGGTAGTCGACAGTTAGTGACCTTGAGGGACCCTCGCTTTACTGTAGCAGATGTCACGAGTGAGAACGGTGGAACGGTGGCCGACCGTGTTGGGAACGGTTGGGACCGTTGACCTCGGCGCCCCGTCCCATATGCGACCTTCATGGGAGAGAACAACTGGGCGAACGGGGGCGAGACGAGCAGTCATCGCAACTGGGTGCCGCCGTGTCAGATCTCATTCGGCATGAGCGGGCTAACTGGTGGCCCCGCGGCGTGCCCAGCCGCCATGGACGCAGTGACGCATGCGCCGAACGCGCGCCGACTTGAAGAGCAGGACGGAGGTCACGGTGATCGGCGTGGCTCGGGCCAAGCGCGCGATGCAAGCCAAGGACGAAGGGGTGAAGTGTAGCCAAGGGCGAGATGGAGCAGTTGAAGTCGGCAAGCGTGCCGGCAGCGGGCTTAGCGAGAGAGAGCGGAGCGAGCGCTCCATGCCAGGTTAGTCAGGACAGTCGCGAATTTGCTTTGGGTCTAACAAGTCAGAACGCTTTGCATATTGAACCGTGCTTAGCTGCTTTCTAATCCTCCTGCCTCGCTACACACGGCGGCGACCGTGCCCGACCCGATCCGACTCGCGACACAGATTCTAAACAAAATCAACTTTTTCTTTACAATGTTGTTATTCACCACTTTCTCTTTCATTTATATTTTAACATGCTTCGATGTGTACAGCACCATCAGTTGTACATGTATGTCCTGGTCGTATCGCTTATTCCTCAGTAATTTAGCTGTTGGTATCGCAAAGTTTAGCGCTTTTAGTTAACTTGCGGATGGATTCTACAAGCCCTTCTAGAGAAACTGGCACAGGATCACCGAACAATATTACAGCCACTGCAACAGCGTGGCCCGGATATTTCACCATTGTTTGGATGCAAACAAAGTAACTTTAGTGCAATGACGAAAGCTTTTTGCGAACTAGTACGTATCGAGAACCCCACAATCGAGCAACAAGGTTAACCAGGTCGCCGTTGGTTCGAAGGTACAATGATAACTGCAGTTGCCGACAGGTTCACATACTATGCAAAACTATCGGGGCACAAGAGGAGATTCAAGCGAAAGTCAGCGCGTGCAATATGTAGTTATATATTCGGATATGTGGCGTACTTAGGCAAATGTCCATCATGACAGCGTACTTCACGTGATATTGATCGTAACAAATTATTAATAACGCTTAGTAGCTCCGGCTTCGATAAATGCACTGTAGCCTTAAAGGCGCTTGAGCGATGATCGCAGTTAAAAGTGATGTAGCTATTGTGCCTTGCATGCTTTCTGTCTAAACAACGACGTAATTCGTTGTTTTAGCAAATCACGGTGATTAGCCCTTCATTGAGTTATGAGGCTAACTCGTCGATTTAAGATAGAATAGCTGCTAAGACAACGAGTTAACGTTGAGTTATGCTCACTTTCGTTGAATGGCTGGAGTGAATCCGACAATACTTAAGTACTACGGCCCTGACATTCTAATTCTAACTCGCTCGCTTTGTCGGATTGCTTTCTAGTCGATGATTGACATGCGTTGGCGATCTATCGTTCTAAACTACGCCTACAATATTAAAGAACATACCTGTTTTTATATCGAGGAGCTGTGCACTACCAAACATTTCTAGTAGAAATTTTCAACTGCTACTATGAATATATGCCGTGCTCTGAAGTTCGAACGCGCAAGGCCACGACGAAGAGAGCGAAAGAAAACGTCCCCGCCGAAATCGGTGCTTACTATTATGCAAGGAGTTGGCGCCATTGGACGCCTGCCAAAAGTCGAGAATTTAATCGGATGACATTCGGATTTCGGATTGGCATTTCTGTCTCATCCGGTTCAACCGGTTTGAAAATCGAATAAATCCGGTTATATTCGAATGCATTCGGATTGTTTGGCTTATTACATTATGGAGTCTCCTTCTATATACGAATAAATCAGCAATCGGCTACCACGGCGTAATAAATGATACACATCTTTTGAGATATTATGATTGGATAAAATCCGAATGTGTACACAGAAAAGTCCCAAACCCGGATCAGAATCCGGATTTTTATTGACCGGCTTCATTCGGATTTCATTCGAATGCAACCGGTTAAAACCGAATTCGGCCATCCTTTTACATTCTCTAGTAACTTTCCGCATAAGCCGACTTAAGAAAACTTATATTTGTCAGGCGTAGATTTCGCCTCAGTAAACGAAGGGTCACTTCGCCCCCTCATCGTGCAACTGCATAAATGTTATCTTGAATACCCCCACCCTTTTGTAGCAACTTGCTGGCATAAACACTGACCTTTCACATATATCGACCTCTGCACAATTTATATTTAGAGACGAATTTAGAGAAACACTTTATGTCGATTGAATGCCACTTTTGGCAGGCACCCATTCTATCGGGGACCTTATCAGTTTGTTTTCTTGCAGCGACAATCGATTTATTCTTGCAGTGACAACCGCTTCGTTCTTGCTCTGCGTTGTGCTTGGTACCGGCGGTTGATTAGCTTAACTTTAACTTAGAGTTACGCTGCGAGGTATGATCACCGGAAAGAATTTGCTCGTTGGTTTAGAGCATGCCAAAGTTCGCGCAAAGCACAATAAGTTATAGGTGCCCTAAGGTGCTGTCGTGACGTTGTGTCAAAGGCGCAGTAACGAGACTCTATAAGGGGCTGGTCGCGCTGGCTGGTGCTGGTTCTCGGTCGAGACTCAGTCCAAACCAAACATGTTTTTGGACAAGAGCAAACACTTTTGGGACACAACCAAACACAGTAAGACAAAACCAAAATCAAACACCTGTGCAGAGCAGAAACAAACAGATTCAGGGCAAAACCAAACAAAAAATCGGGCACAACCAAACATCCAAGGGTGCTACATAATAGTGTAGTCCACTTTATTTGTAGTCCCCGTCCTACATTAGGCAATTATGTGCGATGAGGGCCGCGATATACAGAATCCAATATATACGTAACCTAACCAAGTCCGATTATTAAGCGCCGAACTTCACAATAAACTGACCGATATACTGGATTACGGTGATTTACCTTAAGTTCGGCGGTGGTCCTGAAGTAGAGGCGTGTGCACACCAAATAAAATGATAGGACGGCATTGCTCATTTGCTGCTTCGCACAAGCCACAAGACACTTGGTTTGAATCTCCCGCGTCGTCGCCTCAACGCACCATGGACACCGCCGACTAGACACCAGAACCTCACCAATCATGGACCATCATCGCGGAGGGGCCCACCACGGAGACCTACACGAAGGCGCGGCTCTCAATTATGTGCTGTTCCGGTGCTTACGCCAAGCGCGTGAAGCTTTGCCACATTTGCCCAGGCGACCACGAAATGGAGGAGCGGCGTTTGCGTTGCTCTAGTGTTACGTGTCTAAATCTGTCGGTGCCAACCGGACGTAAGAAACCGCAGTGCAGCAAAGTGTGGAAAGTTTGGCAATGCTCACGGTTTCATACCTGGCAAATTATGGCGACTGTGGTTCCTCACGCGCGCGGGGACGCGTGTTGTGAAGGCAAACACCGTGCGATTATTACACCCGCAATGAAGAAGTACATTGGCGATATGGATGAAACGGGGCTCACGCCCAGGCACATTTGGTCTGGTCTGCGCCGCTACAGCGCAGCTCCACCGCTAAATGGTGTGCCGTCCTACAAACAAGCATTTGCGAACGAAACATGGAGAGCGCAATTCAGTGGGCTCGCTGAAAAAATTGGTGCGTGAGTTTCCGCTCTCGTCAGGGATTGACGCAGAAACAGCGTTTATTTTTGGCCCGACGCTTGATGACGAAGGTTTTCCGCGTGTTGGAAATGAAGACGATCACGACTCGTTGGGTTTAGGTGTTACGACGCTTTGCCTTCTCGAAAAAGTCAAGCATTTCCAGCAAGATGATACGTTTGCTTAATTTCATATCGACGCTACTTTTAATCTGAGTGAGATAGGATACCCGGTGATCACGTGTGGCTTCAGTGACGCTTCCCGAACGTACCATTTGGCAGCAATGTTTGTCGTCAGCCGACATACGCAGAGCGAGTACTCTGGTGTTTTATCTGCGCTACTTCAAGTCTATGCGAAACTGTTCTCCGTGCAACCTAGGATTGACGCTGTGCTTGGGGATGCTGAGAAAGCTCAGTACAACGCGTTACGTGGTATCATTCAATTTCAAGATGCAACATTTTTTATGTTTTTTTTTCACGTGCTGTACCATGTGAGAAAGCGCACACGGCAACTCGACAATTTTGCCGGTGCAATGGTGTACAGGTGTATAATCTCAATGCACTACGCGAGAAGCCTTTTGGAATACTACCGAATTCGCGATTCAATTTTGGCGCAGTGGAGGAATGTTTTTGTGCTTCGCTCCTTCGCAGATTATTTTGAAAAGCAGTGGCTCAATAGTGAGTACTGGCGTTGGAACTCGTTTCACACACCTATTGGATACGCTGCCACCAACAACCCGTGCGAAACAGTCAACGCTAGTGTCAAAAGGCATGTTATGCGCAAAATGTTTGACACAAGTCGTTTGCTGAGGAAGCTTACTGTGAGATCGGGAAATGACTGCGGCCGGGCGAGTTCCGGCCGAGGTCTAACTGCCTTGAGCTTGCGAGTGATAGCTGACCGAGGGCTCTGATTGGTCGGTCACATTCCCCGCGCTTTAGTGCCCAGGAGATTGATAGAGACTACGGAGGGACAGGAGGGTCTCGGCGGGTCAAAATAAACCGCCTGCCGAGACCTCCGAAGTTTCATAGTGGGTACACTTTATGCCCAGTAGGAGTTCGGATTTAGGACGAAGCTTCGTCCGATTGTAGGATCAGCTCGAAAGCTCGGTCCACACTTGATATTTGTATAGACCTTAGTGGTTAGCTATAGGAGAGGCCTGACAGCCTCTAATCATTAAACAGAGCAGAATTTTCCCCCCAAGCCACACAAGGGTCAAGTCCGTCTACGGTAAGTCGCTAAGCTTAGCGTAGGGTCTGGATACACTCGGCTGCACGGGGTATGTCTGCCGGTGAGCATAAGGTGCATTGACCGAGTGTTCATCCTGGTAAGGCCAAGAGTGAGTAGGTGGCCGAGTGTTGGGAGGTATTAGAGACCTCTGTGTACAGTTGTACGTTTGACTGGGTGTGAGGCAAGGACCCCCCAGTGTATTAGACTTCTAGCCGAGGCTTCGCCCCGGCGCCCCTGTAAGAGGCTTCGATTGGCCTGGTACCCTTCCTTTCTGAGGGACCACAGAGGTTTAGTGCGAAAACACGTATTACACATTGCATCCTAGCCGTGGCTCGTGGCTAAGGGTGCTCTTATATATTAACGAAGGGTAAACCTACCTGACCCGCAACACACAGGGAGGCACATTCCAGCCCGTATAAGGAATCGGACCTGGTCTTCAGGTTTATTATCCCGACAATCTATCGCCGACGCTTCAGAGACGGCGTGTGTTGTCGGTAGGGCTCGCCCTAGAGACTTCGGTTGATAGGGCGAGGACTCGTAAACTCGTGTTTTCCTACACGACAACTGGTGCCGCGACCCGGGACTGGTGTGACCGATTGTGTGTTGTGGTCTGTGTAGGTTTAACGAGCATTGAGGAGAGAAGAAGTGAAGAAGAGAAGAAGAAACAAGAACAAGATGGCGAAATGATCCAAGTCAGCGGTACCAGCTACGCCGGTGAAGTCGGGACGACGATCGGCCGAAGGTTCGTCAACGATCGCGAGTGACTTAACTTCTCGGTTGTCGACGATCTCCGAAAGGTCGGTCAGTTTCGAAGAGTCGGTCGACGAAGATTCAGACGCCAAGGATGACATGATGATGGACTATGATGACCTGGAGGAGAAGACTCCAGCGACGCCGCAGGAGTTCGAAGATGAAGAAGATGCGATGCTGTCTGCGGGACGTAGCGGAGGCTCGCGTTCCTTGTCCCGGAACCTCGTCGCGGAATTTGATGAAGTGGCGAAACCCGACCATGGGGATGACGACTTTGAGGATGGCACCGAGACCTCGGCTTCGAGGGCTCTGGAGCAGGTTACTAAGGGTCCTCAAGAATCCCGCGGATGTCGGCCCGCTATGAACAGCAGCACCCCAGCTGCGAACAAGGTGCTCGACAGAATGCTCGAGCAGATGGTGGAGTCGAGCGAGTGGATATGGCAGTTCAATCCCGAGATGACGCGTCAAGCGACTTGGGCTGAGCTGAAGGAGGAGTTGCAACACCCCGTTGACTCGACCTCGGTTACTCAGGTGGCCGAGGACTCGGTGTCCTACGAGCGATGAGCTACGAGTCAAGGACTCGTCCGTCCGAAGTCTCGATCAAGAGTTGGACGCCGGGTCTCGCCGGCAAGGAGCTGCATAAGTGGAAGAGGAGGCTTCGCCTGAGCTTCGGGGAGTCGGACCTGACTCTGGGACGCCCCCCGAGTGCTCGCCCCGCGAGGGAGCAAGCTGATCCTTCGAAGATCCCACTGCCACAGACACCCAAGAAGTCCGGCGAGCGGTCAAACCAAAGCCAAGCGACGGACGGAGTGTTCTCCGCCAAGACCGAAGGTTCGCCGTACTTCGAAGACTCGTACATGGTGACTCCTAGGTCGGCGAGTCGAGCCGACCGTAATGCGCGTGAGTCCGAAGGCTCGCGACTCGTGCGGAGCACGCCACGAAGCTCCACGCGACGCTCAAGCCGCCGGTTTACACCGCGCGATGACTCTTCGTCCGACAAGGACGACAATGACACCATCGACTTGAAGATGGGTTTGACAGCCCGAGCGATGAGTTGGCCCGTCAAGTGCGCGAAGTGAGTGAGATGGAGCGACTGAGTTCGACTCCTCGGCTCGAGAACGCCACACACCGGCCGCTTGCGCAGATCAAGTATTTCTCAGGAGCCCGCAATCAGAGTGAAAACTCTATGCACTTGTGGTGTAGAGAACACCAGATTTCGCGCGACCAACTCGGCTGGAGTGGTACACTGTACAGCCGAGCTCAGCCGAGTTCACCAGCTTATCCGGACACCTTATCCGGCTCAGCCGAGTTCGAAGAATTATCCGGATAGCTCATCCGGACCAGCCGAGCTCAAGCGTCGCCGAGCTCAGCGAAGAGTCGGCCGAGATCCAAAACCGCCCACTTTCATTTGGTATTTGAATAGGAGCTTAGGAATAGTGGAGGTGCCCCTTCAGGGTGCCCGACAGAGATAACAAACAACAGAGCAGAATTTTCTAGGTCCACAACACGTGTACACGTTCCGGTAAGTCCCTGCACGGGGCTGGATTATGTCTGCTGCCGGTACCCGAGAGGCATAGCTTGTAGGGTACTCGGCTGGCAGCGCCAAGAGATTAAGGTCGGCCCGGGTTGGGTGCGTGTCTCGCCAAGCGCGAAGGAAAAGTCTCGCCACCGCTGCGAGCCGGTGTTCACGTACGTCCCGGGCACTGATTGCTGAGTCGAGAAGCCTTTGCTCTCGGTGACCTGTAAAAGCGCTCCGTGCGCCGTCGTCCATCCTTTGGTGGAGGGCACAGGGTTAAGTGAACGGAGGCCGTCGAACTCGGCGGCTCTCCGGAGGGGTGATCTTGGTTGGCAGGTCTCGACGAAAGGCGAGACACCCGCTGTCCCGGTTGGGCCGAACCGCTCGGGGGCAACCCGGCGCAGGCCAACAAAGCCGACCAGCTCGGCTATTGTTGTGTTTGTAGCCAAGTTACCACAACTGACGATTTTGTGTGTACTGCTATACCACAACTGGTGCCGCGACCCGGGAACAGGGCTGTGCTTGTGTTTCGTAGGTACCAGCTAACCAAGGTTTGAGAAGAAGAGAAGAGAAGAGAGTGTGAAGATGGTCAAGAGAACTGTTGCGCCGAGTCCAGCGACGGTTGGAAGTAACTCGGCTGGACTGACCAACTCGGCAGGCTCGGCGAATGCGATGATCACGGACGCGACGGGGGACGAGGCGCGCACCGTCCAGTTCGATGAGGAGGATGCCCAAGACCAAGAAAGTGAGGAAGATGTTGAGCATGAGTATGAGGAGAAAGCCGAGCTACTCGGCGAAGTCGACGAGTTGTCGCTGCAAGTCGGATGAATGGGTACCCCATGTCCAGTTGTGCGCAACCTGGCGGCCGAGCTCGGCAATGATACGGACGACGAAGATCAAGCCGCCGCTCAAGGGGAACGTCCGCCCCTGATCCCGCGAGCGACGAGGAATGCGGATACGCCAAGTGCGAACAAGGTTCTGGGCAGGCTCGGAGAGGAGATGCGAGCTCAGAGCGAGTGGATGATGATGTTTGCCCCAGTGGCGATGGCTCAGGCGAGATGGCCGGTGCTAGGGCCCGAGCTGACTCAGCCGGTGAACAGCACCGACATCAACCAACTGGTCGAAGACACGGTGCTGCTACTCACGGCGATGGGGTTCCGGTGCACGAGCCGACCCAACCGCCTGCTACTCGGCGATTGGGACCCCAGCCGAGCCTCACGCGAAATCCTCAAGTGGAAGCGTCGGTTGAGAGTCTCGTTTGGTCTCGAGCGGGGGGCCATCGGAACTCGGCAGACTATTGCGAAACGAGTGGCTGATACTCCGAAGACCGTCGAAGACCCCAGCAGGATTCCCCTGCCGAAGACTCCCGAATGCAAAAGAGCCGAAGTGTTCCGCTCTACTGAGGGTACCTCGTATTTCGAAGATTCGCATATGAAGACACCAACGCATGGCAAGCAGCCAAGTGGACGCTACGCTGAGTTGTTTGACGCTGCAGACGCAGCCGAGCTCAGCGACAGCGACGATGGGCGCGAGTACCTGAACTCGGCTGAAGAGTCGGTGAAGGACGTCATCAAGCACCTTAGCTTCGATGATGCTGAAAGTGATCGGACGCAATACTTGGAGGTTCGCACCTATGCGTCCCTCGACAAGATCCCTATGTTCGAAGGCAAACGTTACCGATCGGATGACTCTCTCCAGTGGCTTAAGCGGTTCATCTACGAGATGAAAGGAACTCGGCTGGCACAAGACCTCTGGTACGAGCCATTCTCGCTGAAGCTGGAGCGAGGCGCGAAGAGCTGGTATCGCCAGCTCCCGAAGAAAACGCAACGGAAGTGGAGTCTGCTGAGTGAGGCATTCGCCGACTACTACTGTTCGCAGTTTGACCAGTCGGCACGAGCTCGCTATTACTCGGCTCAGCGCAAAGACAACGAGCTGGTGTGTGACTTTCTCGTTCGTCTCAACGGATATGCGGAGTCGGCGAATATCCAGTACGAGGCCGGTGGAGCGGATGCTGCTGACCATGTGGAACACTTCCTGTTGCACTGCGGAGATGATGACATCATGGATCTGCTCTATCTGCAACAGCTCACCGACATCAAGAAGGTCGAGAAGATCATCAACCAGAAGATCCTGGGGGAGCGCCGGAAGAAACAGCGCGACCGTCTCATCGGAAGCCGCAGCCGAGATGCCAAGCGCACCGATTCGCCAAGGCACACGAAAGCTCGGCGGAGTGAGCCGCGCCAAGATGACCGCCGAGACGACCGCCGGGAACGACGCAGAGATGGCCGCCGGGATGACCGGCGAAGCCGACACGACGATGGTCGAGACCGCCGACTAGCGACAGCGCTGCTGGTGCGAACCACTCCGTTCACTACTGCCGCCGTCGCTGCAAGTTCTGCAAGCAATTGCACGATGTCGGTCAATGCGAGCTGTTCCAGCGCTATGAGAAGCTCGCCGCATTTGTCAAGTCCAATGTCGACAAGTCCAAGTTACCTGAAGACCTCCAGGACCTAGTGATTTAAACTCGGAGGCCCGCCAACACTGACTGGGTTGGATGATACCGGGCTGCCATAGTCAGCTGACTCAGCAGTAGAGGCGAACTTTGTGTTTGCCTTTGTGGGTGAGGCAGGAAGGCCCGAGGACCGAGGAGAAGACGACGTATTGGATTGTGAAAGCGATGGACTTGATGGTGAGCTCGGCGAGAGTGGAAAAGAAAACCGAGCAAGATTGTGCAGTGCAGTTGCGACTCAGCGATCGACGGATGTGACCACAGCCACCAGAGTTATGAAGCTGCTCCCTGGGGAGCGGCTCGGCTGGTGGTCGTCACAAAAGTTTGACCGCCGAGTTCGGATGAGAGCTCTCGTTATGGGAGCAGTGAACGACCAGCGTACAAAGATATTGCTCGAAACCGGTGCGAATGTGTCGGCAATAAGCGAAGGGTTGGCGAAGAGGCTGCGGTTGAAGCGGTTCACACGCCAGGACCAACAGATTGGCGTTCAAGGTATTGGGAAAGGCAAAGTGGCGACGATGTCACGAGCGATGGTGAAGGTGACGCTCGGCTGGGAGGTCACGATGAATTTGAAGTATGGATCCTCGATCACCACGCGGGAGTCGAGTTGATTCTCGGTACGGACTTCATGATTCCGGCTGGGATCCGTCTGGATCTGTACAACTCGGTGGCGAAGTTGCCAGATGATGTTGGCCTACCTCTCGTGAGGTCCCAGAACTCAGCGGATGATCCGAAGGGCGGCCTCTACATTACAGACGGCCCGACCGAACCGGTGAATCTCGAGAGCCGAGTTCCCGCCGAGTTCAGGCTGATGAGGAATCAACCGAGTGATGAAACACATGACTTCTGGGTACGCCGGACTATGGACTGGGTACCGACCGTGGTATTCGACCGGCGTAACCGAGTGGCTCGAGTTCGCCTGACCAACCTTAAGCCGACTTGGACGAGGTGCCCAGCACATTTCCCAGTGGTCCCCTGGGCGCCGCATGGGGTGTTACCGCCCGATGCTTACGTCAGGCTGCACTCGGCGAAGTACAAAGATTGGCAAGTCATGGCCTACGAAGCGGCTATGGATAAGGATCTGCTGCAAAAGGAACAACAGCTGTACGCCGAGTGGCTGGCTCGACAACCGTCAGCTGTGGACCGTAGAAACTCCCCTGAACCGAAAGGGGTGACTACGTGGCCGTCTACCAAGCAGCGGGATTCACCACTGACTTGCGCCCAGCAATGGGAGAAGTTAGCCGAGTCGGAGGAGCGAGACGAGGCAGAAGAAGTCGATAGTCCACCCTTGACTCTGACAGAGCCAGTAAACTCGGCTACCGCTACCCTAGCGCCTGAGGAATTAGCATTGAGCGCGGAGCCTACTGCTGACTTGGTCAATGGCCCGCCTAGTCGAGCAGAGATCACAGTGACGGCTGGTCAAGAAGCGCCCAGCAAAAACGCCTGTGCAGCAGATGAGTGTGAAAGTGAGCAATCCAGCGATTTGTCTGACTGGACGATCATCGACGACCCTGGGCCCAAGCCGCCGAGTCCAAGGCTCGAAGATGAGGTCGATGTGAGCGACGAGCCCATGTCGTCAGACCCGGAGGAAGACCTATGCTTACGTTACCTTCTGGCAGCCAAGTACGAGGAAGAGACAGATGGCCGAGGCGACTCGGCGGGTGACTCAGCCGAGTTCGAGCACCAAGCAACGAACTTGGAGCTCGAAGACTATGCTCGCGAGTTGGCGTTCCTGCCCGATCTGACTGAAGCGGTGTCGACGCCACTCGACTATGAAGCGCCAAACGTTCGGAGCTCGGCGCACACTCGGCCACAGTCTACTCGGCTGGTGGAAGTATTGAAGAGCCATGAAAAGATCATGATCTCCAGTGGTAATGCCCTACCTCCACCAGCATACGGCGTAGTGTGTGACATCGACGTACTAGGGCATCCGCCAATCCGCCAACGAGCCCGCCGAGTTCCGCTGAAGCATCTCGGCAAGTTGTACGAGCTGCTCAAGGCGCTGTTACGGGCTCGGCTAATTGCCTTCTCGAACAGCCCATGGGCATCACCCA